CTGCGCCACCCAGGGATCCCGGCTGGGATGGATTTTAAAGATGTTGGAATCCAAACTCTCATTTCATAAATGGGAAAACGAAAACTCATCGCCAGTTAATTATAGAGTGGAGGCCAGAACTCTGGGTTTTCTGATTCTTAAACCATTGTTTTTTCCATGACAAGAATCAGGTATTGATTTAGAGTCTATTCTTTTTTTCCTCCTCTTCTGACTCAGAGAAGGTGAGAAAGAAAAAGGTGAGGAAGCTTGCAGAAGCATTTTAAAAATCTTTAGTATTCTTAGAATACTAAGAATCAAGTTATCTTGGAAAGTGTTGAAGGAGGTTAAGTGCAGAGGCTGGAATTAGCAGAGCACAGGAAACGAGAAGTTCTTATCTAAAGCAATTAGAGTAAGCAGGCAATTAGAGGCTTTTGTTACTTGGATTTAGGTGAATGCCCTGAAACAGCAAGCTTTTTGAAATCTGTGGCCAAATCAGAACCTAGAAAGTGAAGACTTCTAATCTCCAAGTAAAAGTTCAAAGTGAGATAAAAGGTATTTAAGGTTTTTATACTTCACTTGGTAGGAAAAAGAAAAAAAAATGAGATGAAACAAGATGTCAGCCAGGATCCTCTAAGTCTACCTCCAGGTCTGGGCAAGTCCAAAACCCACCTTTGGGTTTTTTGTGAATTGTCCCAGAGGCTTTTGTTTTCGTGGTCTTCTAGACTTTTGAGATCTTTCATGTGTAAATTGAGAATTTACTACAGCGATGGAAGGTGGGGTGGACATCCCAGCAACAGCAAATAAATTCAATCAGAATGGGTCCTAGCCCCACTCCCCTACATGTCTGAGCTTCTCTCCACCTGGCTAGCTCTTTCTCCACCACTTCTTTCTCTCCTACGCTCCACCTTCGCATTCCCAGGTAGGAGGAGAAACAACAAACTTCCTTAATCTCCTACAGAGCAGGTTTTCCCCTCCTCTGAAGTCCAGGTGCCTGTAGCATCTCAGCCCTCAAGATGGCATCCCTCCTCACAAGCTCTTCAAGGCTCTCCCACAGGGAGACAGCTCCCCCCTTCCCCTTCCTGAACAGGCAGTGTGGGTCTGGCTCTTGAGATGAAAAACAACTTTTTTTCTATGTCTTTATACAAGATGGGAAATTTCCTGAAGTTTAATTAAGATGGTAGTACTTGCTATACCGTGGTAGTGTTTATATTTTTCAATTGCTTTGTCCTGTATGGAATTTTATTTTAATAATGAAGAGTAATGGACCTTTCTTGATATGTGTCTAATTTTAATAAATGGTCTTCAAAATTGTAAAGCATCAGTGATCAGGTCTAGGCTTTATTCGCATCTTCTATCAAGGATTCACAACAAAGGTGGTTTAAATGAAGCAGCTGTAAAGAGGCAGCTTTAGGGCTCCTCACTGGCTCAGTGGTTTAGCGCCACCTTCAGCTCAGGTTGGGGTCCTGGGATCGAGTCCCACGTTGGGCTCCCTGCATGGAGCCTGCTTCTCCCTCTGCCTGTGTCCCTGCCCTCTGTGTCTCTCATGAATAAATAAATAAAATATTAAAAAAAAAAAGAGGCAGCTTTAGGGTGGCCTGGGTGGCTCAGTGGTTAAGTGTCTACCTTTGGCTGAGGTCCTGGGCTCAAGCCCTGCATCAGGCCCTCCGCTCAGTGGGAAGCCTGCTTCTCCCTTTCCCTCTACCTGCAGCTCCGCCTGCTTGTGCTCTTGCTCTCTGTCAAATAGATAGATAGATAGATAGATAGATAGATAGATAGATAGATAGATAGACAGATAGATATCTTTTTTTTTTAAAGAGGCACCTTTAGAATTAAAAGCATTAAGAGGCAATCAGGTAGGTACCCTTTTACCCTAAGGGGATGATTTTGAAAACCAAAGCCCATTTAAAATAATAGAAAGCATCACAAGCTCACTGTTTGGATTTGAACCTGTTTCCCCAAACAGGTTTCTCTTTCTAAAGACATATCTCACATTGTTTTTTTGTTTTATTTTTTTAAAGATTTTATTTTATTTATTCATGAGAGACACACAGAGAAAGACAGAGACACAGGCAGAGGGAGAAGCAGGCTCCCTGTGGGAAGCCTGATGCGGGACTCAATCCCAGGACCCTGGGATCTCACCCTGAGCCAAAGGCAGAGCCACCCAGGCATCCCCCTCTCACATCTGAAAGCTGTAAGTCACGATAGGCAAAGAATGAAGAAGCTGGGTCTCAGTGGCCTGATGCCCACAGTCCTGGAGAGATGGCTTAAGGAATTTTTCTCTGTACTTTCATGCTCCCGGGCTTTTTTTCTGTTCCAATCATTCCATTTCATGAAGCTCTACCTTTGCCAAGTATCCAAGTATTTTCTGCTTACAGGAGCCAAGGAATCCTCAGTGCTCAGGTCTCAGGTACCTTCTGGGCCGCTTTGAGGGTCTGTCCTTCTCATCCTCACCTTTATAATGTGTTCCCCTGAATTTTACCGCTCACCTGTTTGCCCAGTTCCTCCTACATATCTCCATACATACACCTATCTAAAGGATGTGAGAACTTTCTATTGAATGAACATGGTGTTGTCTCCATTGCCATGGCACCAGGCTGCGTCTACCACCCTCTCTGCAGTGGCAAGTCTCGAGTTCTGCTCCCTTTTTTCCTGTCCCCTAATTGAATTTCCTCAAAACCCATTTCCTCTTCTCTCAGGTCCCACATCCAGCATTTCCTAATTTTCACAACTGTCTTGCATTACTGAGGAGGTTGCTTATTTCCTCTGAGCTAGGTGGCCCACAGTGAGGGCAAACTGCCACCACGTGGAGAGCGGGCCTGAGCCACACGCTGCCTCGCGGCCCCACACAACCAGGCTTGTCACAGGCATCCTTACCGAGAGAATGATCTAGCACGCTTCTGGAGGGTTTAATGATGCCTTATGCTCCTTATCAAAACTACCAAGCATAAATAGTGATTATAATTAGTATATTTACATAAACAATACAAGTACATCAATACAACTGCACACTTCATTTTATTAATGGCTTCACCATTCTCTCTCATTGTCTAATTTGTCCTGGTCTCCCTTAATGAGCACAACTTTTAAAGTTTATAAATATAATGAATTTTTTAATGTACGCAAACCCTTCTAGTGTGTGACAGATGGTTAATGTCAAAAGCCCCTGGGGAAGGCTTCTGTGTAGCCTTTTATTTTGTCTTGTGTTTTAAGCCAGAGAAATGTTTGACTGTGCTGATAATTTGTAAGCATACATCAACCATCAACTTTTATCGTCCTTTACATTCTCAGCTCTCCCCTGGATTTCTCTTCTACTCCTGGCCTAGAAAGGGCTGGGAAACTGGGCAGAAGCGTGCCTAAATGGCCTGTGTGATAAGCCTCATAAAGTTATTTTTCTCAATTAATCGTTTTCACTGACAATTTTACTGCTCTGCGTTCAGCTTCTCCATTCCCTTGGGCATCTGTACATATGTCTGTTATAAACCTCATCCAGTCCAACAAAATTGGCCCCTCAATACAGACTGCCCTATTTTTTAAAAAGCTCATTTTAAAAAGCTCTCTCTCTCTCTTTTTTTGAAACATAACACTTGAAAATACATTTAAACAGAAAGTAATAGCTTTAAAGCAGAGCTCTAAAAGTGATTTATTCCTAAGTACATACTTATTCCTCTCCCAATTGACATCTATTTTATATTAATTTTCCTTGAGTGTGTATCCTCAGCTTATTTCTAAATCTTTACTACTAAAATGAACTTTTTATTCCACCCTTATTCTTTTCTACTTTGTTCCAAAGACTCTCATATGGGCTGAGAGGGATCCACCGGGTGTACGGACCACAATTTGGAAAACTCTGCTATGAAATAATAATGCTCCCTAGTCACAATCACTGACTTTATTAGGTAGTCAATTAGCTATTTTTTAATTAGGGAAGGAAAAGTTCCTAATTCATTTTTTCTGAAGTGACTTGAAGTGCACTTTTATAATCATGCTCCACTGGTAACAGGAAAACTATGGAAAGTACACCTTTTTTCTTAGGTAAGTTGAACCTTCACTCTATCAGTTAGTAATTTCTTTTATTTTTTTTTAAGATTTTATTTCTTTATTTGAGAGAGTGAGTGAGGGAGAGAGAGCATGAGTGGGGAGAGAGAAAAAGGGAAAGCAGATTCCCCTCTGATCAGAGAGCCCGATGTGGGAGCTCAATCCCAGGACCCTGGGATCTTGACCTGAGTAGAAGGCAGACACCCAGGGGCCCCTAGAGGTAAGTAATTTCCATAGAGAAATCTCTATAGCCCATTCTCCCTCACCCCAAAGGACTCACAGCAGAAGAAAGAATCAATGATAATAATGTTCCCTTTATATTGTATACTTTTTCACAGCAGATTCATATACTTCAGTTCATCCAGGTTTTTTTTTAAAGATTTTATTTATTTTATTTATTTGACACAGAGAGAGCACAAGCAGGAGGAGCAACAGCAAGAGAGGGAGAAGCAGGTTCTTTGCTGAGCAGGAAGCCCAAGGCAGGGCTTGATCCCAGGACCCTAGGATGACCTGAGCTGAAGGCAGAGGCTTAACTGACTGAGCCATTGAAGGGTCCCCAGTTTTGCTTTTTTTAAATAGATGAGAAAACAGAGACTTAGAGTCTCATGGGAATAAAAAGTAGCACATAGGGAATACAGTCACAGATATTATGATAGTGTTGTGTGATGACAGATGTTAGCTCTACTTGTGGTGAGCACAGCATAATGTATAGAGATGTTGAATCACAATGTTGTACACCTGAAACTAATGCAATACTGTATGTCAACTATACTCAAATATTTTTTTTTAAAAGAGGCTTAGAGAAATTAAATAAAGGATGTCTTCCAGGTCACATAGCTTGTCAGTCAGAGACTAGAATTTAAATCACCACTTGATGATTCTGATTAAAAAAACAAAACAAACAAATTTCATTTCACAAATAGGATTAGAGATCTAGCAATTTTCATAAACATTATGGTACAGAAGCTTTTATAAGCAATACTTACCAGTGACTGCGCTTTTCTTAGCCTAGATCTGTCCTGCAATTTATTTTTCTTATCACGTGACTGTCGACTGGAATCTGGGTTCATTTCATGTCTTTTCCTCCTCCTGTAAATTCAAAGTCATTAGCACATTACAAACAATCATTCTAAATTTGTATAGCTATTTGTCTGTTTTATTTTGTTGTTCCTGTGGTTTAAATGATTGTTTTCATTCAACTGGAAAGGAGCCAAATATAATATCACTAGAAAACTGGTTGAATAAACTGGCAAATCCATGCAATGGAGCACAGCAAAAAGGAAAGCATGGTATTTCTACATACATCTGTGGGGTGATCTCCAGGATATACTGTTATATGAAAAAAGAAAGGTGAATAAAATGGTATGCGTTGTGTATATTTTATTTCAGAAACAGATGTATTTGCTTAAATTTTGTCAAATGGAAGGACTAGGGGCACCTGGGTGGCTCAGTTGGTTAAGCGTCTGCCTTAGGCTCAGGTCATGATCCCAGGGTCATGGGATCAACCTGGCATTGGGCTCCGTGATCAGCAGGGAGTCTGCTTCTCCCCCTGTCCCTCACTCCGCTTGTGCTCTCTCACGCACTCTTCCTTTTCTTTTTTTCTTTTTTTAAAGATTTTATTTACTTATCCATGAGAGACACAGAGAGAAAGGCAGAGACATAGGCAGAGGGAGAAGTAGGCTCCCTCCTGGGAGCCCAGTGTGGGACTCCGGGATAATGACCTGAGCCAAAGGCAGGCACTCAATCACTGAGCCACCCAGGAGCCCCAATTAATAAAAACTTAAAAATATAGAAATATGGGATGCCTGGGTGGTTCAGCAGTTGAGCACCTGCCCCTGGTTCAGGGTGTGATCCACGGTCTCAGGATCGAGTCCCACACTAGGCTTCCTGCCTGAAGCCTGCTTCTCCCTCTGCCTATGTCTCTGCCTTTCTCTCTCTGTGTCTTTCATGAATAAATAAATAAAATCTTTAAAAAATAAAAATAAAGAAATATTTTTAAAAACGGAAGGACTGTAGCATAACATTTTGAAAACTGGTTACCTATAAGTAGGATTCCCATGAGATCCAATCAAGAACAAAGAACAGTATGGAGGAGTAGGAACAGAAGCTAGACTTTTCCAAATATACTTTGTTTTATATATCTGCCTTTGAATCTTCAATTTTTCTCAAAGGGACAAAATCCCCAAAATTTAAGAACAAAATGAAAGGGCAGCCAGGGTGGCTCAGCGGTTTAGCGCCACCTTCAGACCAGGGCCTGATCCTGGAGACCCGGGATCAAGTCCCATGTTGGGCTCCCTGCATGGAGCCTGCTTCTCCCTCTGCCTGTGTCTCTGCCTCTCTCTCTCTCTCTCTCTCTGTGTGTGTGTCTCTCATGAATAAATAAATAAAATATTAAAAAAAAAGAACAAAATGAACAAAAAAAGAAACAATCTTGTCTCTGGAATTGGTGGTATTACTACACTGAGGAACTAGGGACTTTAACACAGTAATTTGAATATTCTTAGTAGAATATAAGGACAAAAGCACAGGCAAAGAAATCTTAAACTGTTTTTAGTAATCGTATTGTTTGAATCAATATTAGTATTGATTTTCTAAAACTATCATATATATTTGGATAAAGCAAGGATCAGCAAACTATAACTCTGAGGTCAACTTGGCCCAGTGCCTGTTTTTATAAATAAAGCTATATTGGGACATACTCATGCTCATTTTTTGCATATTGTCTTTAACTATTTTCAGGCTACAATGGCAGAGCAGTTGTGACAGAGTGACATCCTGTAAAGCCTAACATATTTATCATTTAGTGCTTTCTAAAAAAGTTTACCTGTAGTAATGGACCTAGGCAATGGTCCTCAAAACCACTAACATTACACACAAAAAGAGACAACCAGAAATTATGTGCCTCATGATAGAAGTACATGATCTTATATACTCCAGCCTCTAGATCTGACTACCAGTATGGCCAAGTACAGGAGACAGAGGAACATGTTAAGCTGCATATTGGGAGTACAATCAGCAAAATTGAGAATGTGAAAAGTTCTACAGGTTGATCTCTATAACAAACAAATTACAAGGGAGAGAAAAAGACAGAGGGTAAGCCTATAGATCCAAAAATGATTTAAGTGACACATGGACTAAATACAATCCACAGACTTCGTCTGGAACTTGATTAAATAAACCAACTGTTTAAAAATACTATTTATGAGACATTCAAAGATACCTCAAAACTTTTTTATTTTTATTTTTATTTTTATTTTAATTTATGATAGTCACAGAGACAGAGAGGCAGAGACACAGGCAGAGGGTGAAGCAGGCTCCATGCATCAGGAGCCCGACGTGGGATTCGATCCCGGGTCTCCAGGATCACGCCCTGGGCCAAAGCCAGGCGCCAAACCGCTGCACCACCCAGGGATCCCCAGATACCTCAAAACTGACTTGATATTTGATTGATTATATTATGGAGTCATCTATTGATTTCAATGTGATATCATATCATGATTTTTAGAAAGAGTTTATCTTTTGAGGATAGGCATTTATTGAAATATATATGAATGAAATAATGACATTTAGGTTTGTCTCCAAAGTGACCTGGGGAAGGGCAGAGTGGGTGAGGGATAAATGAAACCAGACTGGTCATGAATTCAAAACTATTAATGCTAGCTGATGGTTACAAGTGGTTGTATTCTCTCTACTCTTACATATATTTATTTCCATTATAAAAATTATATTTGAAAGATCAGCTTTGCCCAAATATTTCTTGTTGCTTAATTTGCAAAACTTTCTCCCAACTTTTAATTAAGAAGTTTCAAATATACAAAATAGTTGAAAGAATAGCACAGTAATCACCCATACACTCTCCAGCTAGATTCAACAATTAGTGACATTCAGTTATTTTTGCTTTCTCTCTCTCTCTCTCTCTCTATATATATATATATATAGATAGATACATATGTATACATGCACAAGCCACATATATGTGCAGGTATGTATTTTTTGCTACACCATAGGAATATAAATTACAGACATTTCACCCCTAAATACTTCAATATTCATCTCCTAAGATAAAGACATTTGCCTCCTCAACCACATTAGTATCATGATACTTTGGAAAACGAACAGTAATGCTTTATTATCATTTAATATTCAGTCCATATTCAAATTTCTGCAATCGTCCCAAGAATGCCTTCTTTTTTGAAAGATTAGAATTCTGTCTAGATTCAAACTGTATTTGGTTATGTCTCTGATGTTAGAATATTTTCCCCACTTCTTTTTTTTTTTCCCCATGGCACTGACTCTTTGAAGAGTCCAAGCATCTGGTCTATGTCGGTGAATATAGCACATGCACTTAAAAAAATGTGTTTGTGGAATTGTCTATCTTTTTAAAGCTGTCAATTTTTGTCTTATGTTCTTTGAGGCTTTGTAATTAGGTACATATGCATTTATAACAGTTACATATTTTCATTTAGTTAATATTTATATTATTATGAAGTGCTGCCCTTTATCTTTGGTAATACTTTATCTTAACGTCTATTTTATTTAATGTTAATGGCCATTCTAGCCTTCGTATGCTTATTTCTTTGCATGGTACATCTTTTTCCATCACTTCATTTTTATTTATTTTTATTTATTTTTAAGATTTTATTTATTTATTCATGATAGACATAGAGAAAAAGAGAGAGGCAGAGACACAGGCAGAGGGAGAAGAAGCAGGCTCCATGCCGGGAGCCCGACACAGGACTTGATCCCAGGACCCTGGGATCATGCCCTGGGTCAAAGGCAGGCGCTGAACCGCTGAGTCACCCAGGAATCCCGCATCACTTCATTTTTAAACTTATTTGTGTCTTTAAATTTAGGGTGTGTCTCTTGTAAAATATATACAGTTGGTTCTTGCCTTTTTACCTGTTCTGATAATGTCTGACTTTTAATTGGAGGTTCAATACATTAATGTTTAATGTAATTATTGCTTTACACAAAAAGTATTTGAGTTTCACAGAAAACTCAGGACAATAGCACTTAATGTACCATACATATGTCTGGGTATCTAAATTTGCCTCTCTTTTATTTACCACCATAGTTCAGACTAAGGGCCATATACATACTCTTAAATATTATCTTCATGGATATATTGATCAATACACAGTCAATACATTCACAATGATTCAAAATTCAAGAGTTCAAAAGGATGTGCAGTGAAATTTGTCCTATCTATCCTTGTCTCCAACTTACTGTTCTCTTCCTTGAAGGCAAGTGATATATATTAGTTTATTGTGTATATTCCAGAGATATTTTATGTATAGATATTTATGAATATATACATATATTCTTTCTTCTCCATCTACTTTAATAAAAATGGTAGAATGTCTTTTAAGCTTTGATTGTACCTTGTTTTTTTTTTCTGCCCAATATTTTCTAAATTACCAGCAAACTAATTAGGCTTTTTCTGATACAACTAGATAGATTTAAAGTTCATGAATTCAAAGGCTATACTTCTCTCAAAATCAGTTAATGAGTATTGCAAAGCTAATCAGTGGTGATATAAAAATGAGTAAGACGTGGTCTGCATGCTCAAAGAGTTCAATTCTTTTTTTTTTTTAAAGATTTTATTTATTTATTCATGAGATACACAGAGAGGGAGAGAGAGGCAGAGACATAGGCAGAGGGAGAAGCAGGCTCCATGCAGGGAGCCCGATGTGGGACTCGATCCCGGGACTCCAGGATCATGCCCTGGGCTGAAGGCAGGTGCCAAACCGCTGAGCCACCCAGGGATCCCCCAAAGAGTTCAATTCTTGCTTAGTTAGGGATACCACTCTCATCTCACCTCCAAAGGGACTCCAATAGTCCTGAAAATACACATGTAATCTGAAAGTCCCCAAGTTACCAAACTTTCTGGAATTACTCTTTGTTTTAAAAAAAATTTTTTTTTAATTCAATTAATTAACATAAATGTATTATTAGTTTCAGAGGTAGAGGTCAGTGATTCATCTGTCTTATATAACACCCAGTGCTCATTACATCAAATATCCTTTCTTTTATTAGCCAAATAATATAATTTTAGAAACAATCCTACAAAAGAGGTATTTACTTACTATGTGTCAGGCACTATCATAAGCATTTCACATACATGAGGATTACCTCACAGGGATCCTATGGGTTAGATATTACTTACTGCCATTTTATAGGTGTAGAAACCAAGGCACAGAAAAGTTAAGGAACTCCCCAGGATCACATTAGAAGTGTGGGAGTCTGGATTTGAACCCAAGTAATATGGCACCAGAGCCTGTATACTGCCACCATCTTATGCTACCCTGATGTTAATCTGTTGAAATATCTTCTGAAAACATGGACATATGTGTGTCCTATATACATGCACATATGTGTGTCTATCAACAAATAAACATACGTATGTATATACAGATACAGATTTATATTTTTTTACTTTTTCCTCTTTCTGTACAATGGGTGGCATACTAAAGATACTCTCTTAAAATTTGCTTTTCTCACTTAACAACCTACCCTCTCACTCCTTATCAGTTCATAGAGTGCTTCCTCATTTCTACTGTTGCCTAGTTCACCACTGTGTAAATGGACCATGCATAGTTTATTCAACAGACACTATGTATGAAAATTTAAGTTATTCACAATATTTAAAAGTTGTAAACAATCCTGCAGTAAAACCCCTGCACAAATATTCTTTCCATATTTTCAAGGTTGATTCCTAAAAGTGGGATTTGGGGGTCAAAATGTAAATGCATACGTATTTTTGCTAGATAATTGTCAAACACCCTTCCATAAGGTTATGCTAATTTATCTTCTCACCTGCAATGTATGAGGCTGTTTGCCCACAGCCTTACCAACAGAAAGTACTGTCAAACTTTTAAAGCTTTTGCCAATCATATAATTGAAAAATGGTAAAATAATGAGATTTGTTAGTGGCAATGGGGGTGGAAAAGACAACAGGGTAAGAGTGGAGTAGAAGAGATGAGGATGTGAGTATATCTTTTGTTCACCTCTTGTATATTTTTATATAGTTTTAACTTTAGAACAATGTAACATACCTACACTGATAGTAAAAGGAGATATTTAAAAAAAGAACCCAGAGACACCTGGGTGGCTCAGCGGTTGAGCCACTGCCTTCAGCTCAGGGCATAATCCTTGAGTCTGGGATGGAGTCCCACACCGGACTCCTTGCAGGGAGCCTGCTTCTCCTTCTGCCTATGTCTCTGCCTCTCTCTCTCTCTGTATCTCTCATGAATAAATAAATAAATAAATAAATAAATAAATAAATAAATAAATAAATAAATAAAATATTTTTGAAAAAGAACCCATATAACTTTGGAACACAGTATTATAAATATATGTCCTCAGACTAAAATCAAAAAGAATTATAAACAAATATTGAATTCTAGTTAGATTTTTTTCTTAGGATTTTATTTATTTATATGACACAGAGAGTGAGCACAAGCAGTGGGAGCAGCAGAGGGAGAGGGAGAAGCAGACTCCCCACTGAGCAGGGAGCCCGACAAAGATGTGGGGATTGATCCTAGGATCCCAGAATCATGACCTGAGCTGAAAACAGAAGTTTAACCAACTGAGCCACCTAGGTGTCTCAGCAGATTTGTTTTAATAATGAAATGGGTTAGTTATATTGAAATTCCTTTCTGAATTTGTTTTTTTTTAAAGATTTTATTTATTTATTCATAAGAGACACACACAGAGAGAGAGAGAGAGAGAGAGAGAGAGGCAGAGACACAAGCAGAGGGAGAAGCAGGCTCCATTCAGGGAGCCCGATGTGGGACTCGATCCCAGGACTCCAGGATCATGCCCTGGGCTGTAGGCAGGTGTTAAACCACTGAGCCACCCAGGGATCCCCTCCTTTCTGAATTTGTAAGTAAATATATACTGTTTTTGTAAATGTGTATATATAGTACATAGTATAGAATTTTTATATAAATTATATATGTACATATAATATATAATCAAACTCATATATGTGTATATATAACTTGTATAAATAAATATGAGAGCCCGATTTCTCACTGTCAGAGAAGGGAGGTGCAAATATGAAAAAGGAAAAGACCAGAACGAACTCTATGGTGCTAGACTGAAATTTGAAGTCTTAAATATTAAAAGAAGCTGTAACATTAAGTCATTATAGCTACAAGATGCAAACAAATCCAAATGAACAGGGTAAACTTGCCAATAGTGGTTTATTTACCTTTCAATTACTTTTTGCTTCTATGTATTGAAAGGTATTTGCATTTCACAGTAAATTCTATTTTTCTCTTGTCATATAATTAAGTGCCAGCAAATTGTTTCTAACAGCAAATAAATAGAGAAGAGCATAGAGCTTCTCACCCTTGCCAGATTTGCTCAATGGGGTCACAGTTGTCCAGATAATTGAAGCGAATGATATCAGTTGGATGCTTATCAGAGGATCGCCAGGGTGGGAGTTCTTTCTCCGCTGCGTGAGTCTTCTTCCTCAAAGAGGAAGAGGACCGAAAAGCTGATGCAGGAGACTGCTTTTCCCCTGGAGACCTGCTTGTAACTGGTTGAACATTGGCAATGGCAAACCCATCTTTTGGAGGTGTCTAGAACAAGAAAATTAATTATTTCTGGTCTTAGAACATCATAAAAATCACAACAATAAAACAAAGCAGCAGCAGCAGCATCACCACAATTACAATGATAAAGGTGACAATAATGAAGCAGCCACCAACCCAGGAGTCCTTGTATATGCTAGGTACTGTCTCAGGAAGTTTTCATGTATTATTTTATTTAATTTTCATAATAACTCTAAAAGGTAATAGTTACTACTCCCATTTTACAGAAGAGAAAACTGAAGATAGGACAAGTCGATGAGCTTGTCCTCTACTACGTAAGTAGTAAGACAGAAGGTCAGAATTTGAATCTAGGACTGTCTTGCTTCAAGCCTTTGCACTAAACCTCTTTATCCTGTACTGCCACCTCTTCCACCACATCATTGCATAATTTTTTCATGACTGCAGTTAATTGACTCATGAACACGTGCACATTCCAAAAATTAGTTCTCCAGGCTTAATTATCTGTAACACATAGGGACAACTTTGAGTTATACAGAGGTAGACTACAGATTTTATCAGTTATCAAAACGTTAACTGCTCCCAAAGAATATTTTTGCTTTAATTTCCCAAATGGAAAGTCTATTTTTGTGTGTGAAATTCATAAGGTTTTATGTGGTTGTAACCTAAGGGAAGTGGTTAATGGTATGTTGAGAAGCCATTAAAGGCTTAATTTTTGTTCTTTAAGAGATTAGGGAAGCTTTGTATGGTAAATTGGTTTGCTTGAATTGTTTGTGACAATTAAGAAATTCCCCAATCTATTCAAGCAGAATCAGTTAGTTTCTTACCCTTGTTTCAAGTGTTCTTTGTATCTACTTCTGATACAGGACAGTACTTGGTACTCAGTGTTGTAATTGGGTATTTGTCTATGTCCTAGGCCACTAGACTAGACTCCTTGAAAGCAGGGTTAGGATCATTATACTCAGCATCGACCATATATATAACAGTATTTTTTAAAAAGATTTTATTTATTTATTCATGAGAGACACACACAGAGAGAGAGAGAGGCAGAGACACAGGCAGAGGGAGAAGCAGGCTCCATGCAGGGAGCCCGATGCAGAGCTCGATCCCGGATCTCCAGGATCATGCCCTGGGCCGAAGGCAGGTGCTAAACCACTGAGCCACCCAGGGATCCCCATATAGCAGTATTTAATAAGTATTTATTAATTTAATGAATGATTGTAGTTTGGTAAATTAAGAAGAAATTTTATATTTATATAATAGCTCATTATTGGTTTAATATTTAATATTTTGTTCAGGTCTCATTTAGAATGGACATTCATTTAATTTCTCTGAGCTTATATTGAACAAAATCTGTTTTTGCTGAAGAAGGTCTAGTTTAATACTACTGGTAATAAATAATATATGATAATAAAAATTTCAGGGGGAAATTCAGGCATAAGTGCTAGTAATAATATATAAATAAACATTGTTCATTCTGAAAAGTAACAAAATGTTTGACACTTTAAAAATATAGGATATAATGAAAACTGATGAGTTTTCTATATTAAGTAAACAAAAGTTTTGCTCACTTCACCTAGGGTCTTTGAGAATTTTTTAAATCATGATATTGCATTTTTGTTTATGTTTTTGTCTGCATATACTGAGGTGATTATACATCTTTTCTCTTTTATTCTGTGAACTATATATATATTTTTAATATTATGCCAATTTTACTTCCCATGGATACTTCCCACTTGGTCATCATGTATTATCCTTTCTTTATATAGAACTTGATTTAATATACTAATATTTTTATATCTCTGTTCATAAGGAATATTAATCTGTGGTTTTGTTTTCTTGTAAAGGCTTTATCTGGTTTTGGTATAAAGGTAATGGGATGGGAAGTATTCCTTCATCTTTTATTTTATGAATTTCTGTAGACTTGGTATTTCTACTTTAAATGTGTGATAGAATTCACTAGTGAAGCTATCTGGTTCTGGAGCTTTGTGGAAAGTTATGAATTCAATTTTTATTTTTTATTTATTTTATTTTTTAAAAATATTTTATTTTTATTTATTCATGAGAGACACAGAGAGAGGCAGAGACACAGGCAGAGAGGGAAGCAGGCTCCCCCGGGTGGAGCCCGTTGCAGGACTCAATCCCAGGACCCTGGGATCATGACCTGAGCCAAAGGCAGATTCTCAACCACTAAGCCACTCAGGGGTCCCATGAATTCAATTTTTATTTTATTTTATTTTATTTTATTTTATTTTATTATTTTTTTTTCAATTTTTAAATTGGTAAAGATTTATTCATGTTTTCTATTTCCTTGTGAGACTGCTTTTGTAATCTGTATTTTAAAGAATTGCCCATTTCATCCAGGTGGTTGAATTTAGTGACATGGACTTGTTCATAATATCCTTCTTATGTTTATAGGATCTGTAGTGATGCCCCCTCTTTCATTCCTATTACTAGTAATTTATGTTTTCTCTCTTTTTTCCCATCATCAACCTAGCTAGATTGGCTCCTTCTATCTACTTTGGGTTAACTTACTCTTCTTTTTCTAGATGAAGTCTTTTTGAAATTACGTTCTTTGGATAGATAGCATAGCCTGACAGACAGTTATAAAGGTCATTCTAGTCCAGTCCTCTCATTTTAAAGTTGGGGAAACTAATATTAACCACAATCATTTGCTTGTAAAATGCTTTCAAAAGCTCTGCTGGAGCACCTGCCAGGTACAGGGTATTGAGGGAAGGTGCTTGAGTGAAAGTAAATTATGCTCTAATCCAGTGGCTGCCTATGTTTGCCGTCACTGGAGCAACCTCACAAGAAATCACACAAATTATTCAAGTACACATAGCGCTGATAGTTGACTTTTTATTTATTTTATTTTTAAAAAAATATTTTATTTATTTATTCATGAGAGACACACAGAGAGAGAGAGAGAGAGAGGCAGACACAGGCAGAGGGAGAAGCAGGATCCCTGGTTTCCAGATCAGGCTCTGGGCTGAAGGCGGCGCTAAACCGCTGAACCACCGGGGCTGCCCGACAGTTGACTTTATAACCTTAGTCATATGACTTAGTCTTTCTGACTTAAGTCTATTTATTAACAGAAAAACTGGGGTGTCTGGGTAGCTCAGTTGGTTGAGCATCTGCCTTTGGCTCAAGTCATAATCCCAGGGTCCTGGGATGGAGTTCCTGCTCAGTGAGAAGTATGCTCCTCCCTGCTTATGCTCTCTTTCTTTTGCTCTCTCTCAAATAAAATAAAATCTTAAAAAACAAAACCCAGAAAAACTAAAGTTTGATATACCAAAGTGTTCCCTAAAGAAGTTTAATACTAAGCAATTTTCTTGCATCAGAATGATTCATCATTTTTAAATAAAGTTATGCACATTTTATAGAAAAGAATTACAACTAAAGACAAAGCTTTCAAGTCAGTTTTACAATTAATACTCAAAACGTCTTCTCCTTCTATAAGTTGGCTAATCACTTTTCTCTTCTCTGCCCAAGTATGGCCCAAATTTCAGCTATTGAATGCCATTCTCTGCCTTCTAACTGAAAATGAAAGTTAAGAAAAGCCTTATCAGTTTTTGAAATCATAGCTATAGGGGACGCCTGGGTGGCTCAGCAGTGGGCATTTGCCTTCAGCTCGGGGTGTGATCCCAGAATCCAGGATTGAGTCCCACATCAGGCTCTCTATGGAGAGCCTGCTTCTCCCTCTGCCTATGTCTCTGCCTCTCTCTGTGTGTCTCTCATGAATAAATAAATAAATCTTAAAAAAAAAAAGAAATCATAGCTATGGTAATTTTTAAAACAACTTTTTCTATCACTACAGTTTACATTTTTCTTTTAAAAAAATCCTTGTGGTGCACACCAATTACTGAAATCAGAAAGGCTAGTTTTATCATTGCAATTGTAACAATATTAATTATGCATAGTTTATTACTATACTAAATGTAGATGGATTCTACTTTAAAACAATAAAGCTAAACCTAAATGAGCAAGTGAGGAGTTGACTATTCATCTTTCAAAAGGATTCTTCAATTTTAAAAGGATTCACTGCAATTTTTTCATAGAATATGATACCCCTGTGGTTTTAAAAATCATTAAAAAATTTAATTTACACACAATTTTTCAGGAACTCATCTATTGTACAAAACGATGCACAGCTCTGCATGTGTATAGATCACACCATAAAGAAAAGGCTCATAAAATTTTCCCATGAGTCATCTAATTAACTGTGACTATAAGAATGAACATAAACATTGGTTATAATGTAGGGAAAACAACTAGAAAAATTATTCTCACATTATTTACTTTTTATGATTATATGTAAATGCTTTACATTGCTTAGTTTCTAGATTAAAAATAACTTTAGTATACTTGTTATTCCCTTCCAAAATTATGGATTTATTGGAAAACTTTTCTTAGGAATGATATAAAAATAAACTTTACCTCACCTGGTAGAATCAGAAAATTGTAATTACTAAGGTTAAATTTGATGATCCATTGATAGCAAATGCTGCACATTGTCCACAGAGTCCTGATGTCAGAATTGCCTGGCGTGTGAGTCAGAGATATAAAAATCCAGGAATCTGAACAGAGAGAGGATCTCTCCTATCCTAACCTCCTGGGTGGAGCTGCAGTTTGGGAGTGTTCAGTGAGGGTGGTCAGCTAACATGAGGATGTCTTGAAAAAGATTATCAAGTTTCAGAAAAGGAGAATTTTGAAGTAATAGTTTATTTCCTTTGAACCAAGTCCCTTCCCCAACTTCAAGTTTGATCAATTTAGTCTTAGTCCTAGAATTCCTTTTTTTTTTTAAGTTTTTATTTAAATTCTAGTTAGTTAATGGACAGTGTGGTATTAGTTTCAGCTGTACAATTTAGTTATTTAACACTTGCATACGACACCCTGGGCTCATTACAAGTGCACCCCTTAATCCTCATCACCTGTTTAACTCATTCCTCACTCCCACCCCCCATATTCCTAAACAGCTAATATTTGTATGCTTGTTGCTTTTTGCCCCAAATTTACCTTAGGCTTGGTAACATGAAGTTCTTTTACCATTTGAATGTAGTGCTTCTTCCATATACCCTGCTCAAAGGGAGTTGGAGAAAAATTGATGTACCAGTTAAATCGTAAACATTTGAGCATCCAGAGCTGATCCAACTCTGTTAAGTTCTTCCAATGCCAGCTCACCTGGAAAAACAACAGTTGGAAAAACAAACAAACAAACCCTACTCAGTCTACATGCCCATTTTCTCTGGGTCTTGAGCTGTCACCCTGGACCTGAGATCACTTCTGGTTCTTTTCTTCCAAATCAAAGCTTAGTTACCTGGAGTGCTTCCTACCCAGGCAGAAGGATTTTCTTTAAATGTTAAATCACATTTAGATTCAGAGTCAACCAATATTTCTTGATTACTTATTAACCATCCCCCCAAGGAGGTAGGTGTTATTATTACTCTCTTGCTGCAAATTAAAGGACTGTGGCTCAGATAAGACTTTGGAACTTCCTAGAAGTTCCTGAGGTTCATATGAAAGTTATGTGAGGGTTATCAAAGCTCAGATCTGCATATTAAGTACTCATTTTTTGGTATGCTTCCATTTTCTCTCCATTCTTGTGATTTAACTGAATAGAAATTTTATAAGCAGAATGCAATTAGTAGTATCATATGGTGTGTCCTAGATAGTCTTTAAGATTCCATACAGCTCTGCTCATTCATTCCATTCCAATGGCATCATGGTCACTCTCGCACATCTAGCAAATGATGGAGGTGACCCTACTATGTGCAGCAGTATTTCCAATAACTTACTACAGATTTTGAACAAGTCTTGCTGAAAACTAGGGTCAAGTTCATGTGTAAAGTTCAGACTAGAGGTTCTGTGTCTTGGCTATAAGAGTCGCAAAGATGACATCTAACCTTCCAACCCAAATTTCATCCTTGGAAAACTGCTTCATTTTCAACATTAAATCATTAATAACTTTTGAACAAAAGAAAGAAAGAAAGAAACAAATACAGGCGTGGTGGGTGAAACACTGTAATATACATCCATTTTTCTGGCCCTCCTATTCTCCCTCCTTCTATCTATCAAGTGCTGAGTTCCAGTATATTTAGCATTGTTTTCTGGGCTAAAGAGGAGACATTACAGAATAGGGGAGGACACAATTACAAGAAATAACAGGTTCAGGAACTGAAAGGATGAAAAAGGGTAGAGAATCTGACAGAGCCCTGCAGGCAGGAACAGAAATCACATCTACCTTGCTCAATGCAGAAATAAAACAACATCAACCTTAATCCCTATATGGTTAATTAACTCAGAATTCCATGGAGAGGTGAGGTTTCAGAGGGAGGGGATGAGGAGAAAGGTTTCTCAATTCTCATTTTTTCCTCATTTTCCTTACATCTTGTTTTAACCTGGGTATTAAGTTGTTTTTATTCCCCTAGGGTAGATAAGGGTTTGTATGTTTGTGTTTTTGCTTTTTAGTGTTTTTTGTTTGTTTTAAGGTAGACAGGAACGAGGAGAATTGAAGAGTAGGTAAGAGCTTTTCAAAATTATCAGACCCACCTCTCCATCTTTTTAAACGGTTCAAAGCTCATTTTATTGCAATGACAGTATTGTTTAAATCTAGCTGAAGAACAACTGTCTGTGTCATTCCTCCTTGTCAATACTGGGAACAAATGTAATGCTGAGATCTTGCAAAACAGACATGGTACACATATATGATAGGATTAGTGATTTCAAATAACACTTCCCTTAAATGATAACATTCACATTGTGCAAAACTTGGCAAATTCTGAGAAGTTAAAGAAAAACAATACCCATAACTGTATCAATCAGAGATAACCTTTATTAATAACCTGAGAGAGTTCTTTTCTTTTCTTTTTTCTAGGCATGTATGAAACAAAATTGGGAGATTCTATATATAAAATTTTAAATTGTGCTTTCTTCATTTTACATATTATAAGCATCTTTGTTCTTCAAAAACATATTTTCTAATGGCCATTCAATAATATGACTATATGATAGTCTTTTATTATTGGACATGTAGAATGCTATGCTCTTTAAAGAAATGTTTCACTTTTGGAATATGTAATTAGTGTACATTAATACTAAATTTAAAGATCCAAAAGGACATGAGGTAAAAGTCTTTCTCTCATCCCCATCCTCTGGTCACTCATTCCCCTCACTGGATGCAACCACTGCTATAGCTCCTGTGTATCATTCCAGAAATATCCTAGGCCTATTTAATAAATATGTGTATATTCTTTTTCCTTTCAAAAGTAGTAGGACAGTTCTGTACCTTTGCTTTTTTCACTGATGATACATCTTAAAGATTGTTGCAATTTATTTAACCAGTCCCCTAATGATGGACATTTCCATTGTTTCCAAACTTTAGCTATTACAAACGATGCTACAATATTCTTATACAGACAGGTTTTACATAATAAAGCATTCCAAGAAGTGGAACTGCTGAATCAAAGGAAAACGTTATTGGTTGTACCAATTTATCTACCAACAATATATGAACGTTCTTATTACCTCACACCCTCACCAATACAGAATGTGATCATTAAAAACAAAAAACTCAGTTAAGTTGAGTCATGAAAAATGGCATCACACAATAAGGTTTAGCATTTTATCTCTTTAAAAACATCTATAGGGACGCCTGGGTGGCTCAGGGGTTTAGTGTCTGCCTTCCACCAGGGCATGATCCTGGAGTCCTGGGATTGAGTCCCACATTGGGCTCCCTGCATGGACCCTGCTTCTCTCTCTGCCTACTGTCTCTGCCTCTCTTGCTCTCTCTCCCTGTCTCTCTCATTAATAAATAAATAAAACATTTAAAGATAATAAAATTTTAAAAATTTTAAAAATAAAAACTAAAAAAAACTTCTACATTTCTTTATGTGAACTACTTGTTCATTTCCTTTGCTCATTTTTATGTTGTGTTGTTCATCTTTTTTATTTGTTCTTAATACAGATTTATAGGAATTCGTTAAAACAGTAGGAAATTATCCACTCACTCGCAATATGTTTTTTCCTTGTTTATTGTTTGGGGATTTATTAATGAAGTTCTTTTTTATGAAGAAAATTTTAATGTTTATAGTTACAACTTAAAATCTAATATATATATAATGAATAAAGCAAGATTTTAAATTGTGTATTTTCTTTTAAGACTTCTGGGTATAATAGAATACTCACAAAGGCCTCCTTCCCTATGTTTTCTTTAAGTACTTCAATGGTTTCCTTTGATTTCATACCAATCTTTTACCTTATTGGAATTTTTTTTCAGATAGCTGCCCAATTGTCCCAACACCATTTACTGAGTAACTCCCTTCTTACTGCATTCATTTTCTTAATTTTTTATTTTATGTATGTATGTATGTATATGAGAGAGAGAGAGAGAGCATGAGCACATGCCAGAGTGATAGAGAAAGAGAGAGCACTAGTAGTGGGGAGAGGGAGAAGCTGACTGGGAGCCTGATATGGGGCTCAATTCTAGGACCTGGGTTCATGACCTGAGCTGAAGGCAGATGCTTAACCTATTGAGCTACTCAGGCGCCTCATCATTTTAATTTTAAAGACTAAAATTAAGTTACACATACATGAATATATGGTAACAAGTAATTTCCGGTGTTACCAGACTCTACAAAAATTCTCAACAAAATGGCTATCAGTTTCATCTTGTAAGTAATAGAAGTATACTTCAATAACAGCCCCTTTTCCAAGGCTGCTGGAAGCAAGTCTACTCACTCTGAACTCTGAGTCTTGTATTCTTTGTGCATACCTCTCTAGGACCTCATTTTGAGCTTTTCTGTTTACAAGTGGCCTGCATTATACAGTTCAGAATTGTATTCTTTTCCTATGCTCTGCAACATGAAACTATCCTGCTGATGAACCATGTTGTATATATGCATTTGTCTCCCCAGCAGTGAATACTATCCTGTTGCCACTAGTGCTGTCTTACATCATTTTACATCTATTTTTGAGCACTAAATACAGAGGCACAAAGAAGACAGGGGCTAATTCAAACTATATGGACTACACATATAGACCATCTCATCTATTTCTTGGTTTTACATATGTGCTTTTTCTCCCCCCTCATTTTAGAATTTTCTAGGCTATCAGTATAAAATGTTGTATACTTATTGTTTGCCTTTACCTGTGCACAACGACAAAGGCTTCGGGGGTCCAGGAAAGAAAAGATGTATAAAGATAACACCCTTGGAAGCTTGGTAGTAAAATCCAGAGCTTCTGCTGGAATTTTTTCCTGAAGCTTTTGACAGCAGAACTTTTGCTGTGACAAGGAGCAACGTTCTAACAAGCCTGTCAAGATTCTTCTCCGTTGAGAGTCTGTCCATTTGTCAAACTGGAAAAAAGAAAGATAAAAAACCCTGCAGGTTTAGTCAGATACCAGAGATTCATTAGAGGAAGGGGTAAGAATGGCATAGAAAGTGAGCTTAATATTTTATTCCTAATGAATAGCATGTATATCTCCCCCCAGTTAATTAATTTGATATTTTGCCACTTACCTGTCCTTTCTCACATTGATACATATGAGCATGTGCAAGACCTGAGTAGGTACACAGAAGTGCATTTGACCTCAGAACTTGTAGTTACATAAGCACAGTAAGTTGGAAGCTGGCCATATTCATGAACTGAGAAAATATATACTTAAAAATATAACTTCAAGAGAAGGCATCTGGGCAATCTCTCTGGCCAGAGTTTCTGTACTAGCTCATAAGTGCTTAACTCCAGGACCAGAAACAAAGGTTTGCATTCACAATTGGAGATAAGGTGTACTACGCAAATATCCCTGAGAAGGGGAGTATGTTGGGTTAAAGTCTCTCTAATGTGTAAATGATTGATTGGAGAGAAAATGTCAATAGGAAGACCTGGAAAAAAAAAAAGAGTGCCAGGGACAGGAAGTAGATGCCAGGGTAGACTGGGGCATGCTGAACAAAAGCTTTGGTCACTTCACAATTTGCCCCAGAGAGAACTCTAAACCAGTCCCAAGATCAATGACTGATCAAAGATAAGAATTTGAGAACTGGACAAAACCAAAAGAAAGGGCCTTATGGGAACACCTACCAATTGAGTGACCATTTTACCGGAAGTCTAAGCCTTTCCTTTTCACTTAGCTCATTTTAGAGAAGGGAAATTTTAGAGAAGAGTTTGGGGCTACCTGTATTTTGTATACTATTACATTTCACATATAGATTTTTTCTATGGTTGTCATAAAGTAATGAGAATGATAAGGAACTTTATTTTTATTTTTTTAATAAATTTATTTTTTATTGGTGTTCAATTTACCAACATACAGAATAACACCCAGTGCTCATCCTGTCAAGTGCCCCCCTCAGTGCCCATCACCCATTCACCCCCACCTCCCGCCCTCCTCCCCTTCCACCACTCCTAGTTCATTTCCCAGAGTTAGGAGTCTTTATGTTCTGTCTCCCTTTCTGATATTTCCCACACATTTCTTCTCCCTTCCCTTATATTCCTATAAGGAACTTTAGTTATAATTATAAAATATACTGAGTACCTAAAAAGCATGACAAGTCAGCTTCACTAGAGTCATATGATGTATTTTTTTTTTTTAGTTGGCAAGAATACTTCTTGATCAAAACTATTCACTATTATAGATCTATTTAATGGCCCAGGAATCTGAGTTTGGAAACTATAATTCAAGGGGAAATGTAGGGAGCAAGATGGAGTCACTCATGTCAAGCAGTGACATAAGCAGCCAAGGAAGGATGTTGCAGCTAAGACCAGATAGATATCACCCAAACCAGCACAGACTGGCAGTACTAAAGCCTAATAATCAGGAAGGCCATGGGTTTCTGGAAGAACCAAGAGCTGATCATTACTGGAACCAGGAGAGGCCTGCAAAGGCCCAAGACTGATTAAGCTCCTTTAAACAGGATTTCTGGATCAAACTGTCAGACTCTGCAGACACTGACCCTTCCACTTCTGACGGTCTTTGAAAGGTAATTGTCGCTCCAGGCCCGGCCTGATTGATCTTAAACATAACAGAGATTCTCCACCGCTTGAACATAATAAGCAGTATGAGCTGAGAGCTGACCTAGACTGGACCGAGGCCTCACCTTAACTGTGCTCTCAGGGACTGACCTCCATTTGGTTCATTAACTTCTTGCCCCCTGTTATAGCTTCTCTGCTGTGTGACTTTGTATTGTACTTTGTTTTGTGTGATGTGTGTGAAGCTAAGTTAAATGCGTGATGACAAATGTCATTCTGTTTGGAATCCTGACATTGTGGAAAGACAGAACTCATGTAGAGAACTTTATAGTGTGCTTGCGGCAGGGAAGAAAAAAAACAAAACCTCAACTTACAAATAAATGAAGAAAATCTATTCATGTGTGAGTATTCCCTGATTTCTCCTATCCCTATTTCTGCACAATTCATATTTCCAGCTTTCACAATGGGGGATTTCTTTCCTTTTGGGATGGATTGTTAGAATGAAGAGAGAAGCCAGATCAGAATGACTGGGGCCAAGGGAAAAACCATGCCAGAAAAAGTGCACTGATCTATAAAGAGCCAAGGGGAGAGTGTGAAGAGAGAGAAAAGCAGTTAGGTTTTGGCGTGTTGGGAGTTTGGGAGTTCAGAATGTCATTGCCTCGACAGCAGTTAGAGACTGTGAGAGAATTGAGGTATAAAGGAAGGTATTAAAAAGAAAACCACTGTACAATGGAGTCACTTATGTTAAGGGCCCATGTCAGCAAACCAAGATTTAATACTAACCTAATTGTATATTATATACCCCCAGGAATATAACCTTTAACCAGTCAATGCAGAATTTCCTGGTCAGCACTAGGAAATTTACCAACAGATCCCTTCCATTTCCCTTAGGAAAGCAACCTTGCCTAAAACCATGCATTCTTTGCTAATAATTTCTGCTGTTAGGCTCCCTCTCTACTTTTTTTTAAAGAGATTTTATTTATTTATTCATGAGAGATGCAGAGAGAGAGAGAGACAGAGCTGTAGGCAGAGGAAGAAGCAGGTTCCATACCAGGGAGCCCGATGTGGGAGTGGATCAGACACTCAACCACTGAGCCACCCAGGTGTCCCTTCCTCTTTACTTTTAAAAACCTTTCCTTTTCTGGGGATCCCTGGGTGGCGCAGTGGTTTGGCGCCTGCCTTTGGCCCAGGGCGCGATCCTGGAGACCCGGGATCGAATCCCACGTCAGGCTCCCGGTGCATGGAGCCTGCTTCTCCCTCTGCCCTGTGTCTCTGCCTCTCTCTCTCTCTCTCTCTCTGTGACTATCATTAAAAAAAAAAATAAAATAAAAAAAAATAAATAAAAATAAAAACCTTTCCTTTTCTGTAGCTCGAGGGAGCTCTTCTCTATTTGCTAGATGGTATGCTGCCTGATTCACAAATTGCTTAATAGAGTCAATTTGATCTTTTAAATTACTCAGTTGAATTTTTGTTGTTTAACAAAAGGAGACCTGAGAACTATTGTCAAGAGTTTTGAACTGGTTCTGCTGTGATTTTTCTTTGAAACACAAAGTGAAAATTGGAATTATTTTAAAAGTTACTTGTAGGTGGCATTCTGTGGTTCTGCAGAAACTGAGCTACATGGGGACCCAGGATGATTATGGTCACAAAAAATTTTTCATGAGATATTATCATCACTGCAAGAAAACAGAAATAACCAAAAATGCCTAACAATAGGGGATCAGATATGCAAACTATAATATATCAACATGATAAGAGAAAGTATGGGATTACAGATTGATGGTGGGTTTGGGAAGGAGGCCATTAGAAGTCTCACTTCCAGTATTCTCCTATTTCTAATACTCTTTAGAAATAAATCACTAAATAAATCACTAAATAAATCCCAACTCTGCCACTAAAAACCTCTCAATTTCCTCATTTATACATTAAGAATAATTATATCTAAATTGTAGGGTTGTTGTGAGGATTAAATAAAATAACATATGTGTAAAATTCTTAATGAGGTGCATGACTCATTGTAGACATAGTAGCCATCATTATACAATATTATTATTAAAAATAATAAGTACGGGGATCTCTGGGTGGCTCAACGGTTTAGCGCCTGCCTTCGGCTCAGGGCATGATCCTGGAGTCCTGCGATCGAGTCCCACGTAGGGCTCCCTGCATGGAGCCTGCTTCTCCTTCTGCCTGTGTCTCTGCTTCTCTCTATATATATCTCTCATAAATAAATAAATAAATAAATAAAATCTTTTAATAATAAAAAAATATTAATAAGTACGGGGACACCTGGGTTGCTCAGCGGTTGAGTGTCTGCCTTTGGTCCAGGGCGAGATCCCAGGATCGGGGATTGAGTCCCACATCGCGCTCCTTGCAGGGAGCCTGCTTCTCCTTCAGTCTTGTGTCTCTGCCTCTCTCTCACTGCGTCTCTCATGATAAATAAATAAAATCTTTAGTAAAAAAATAATAAGTGTGTGTGTTAATTCAGTGTGAAAAGAATATATATGCAAGCAATTAAATTAAAAAACATAAAATTCTCATGTTTGCAGATTGGCAAGGTTGTAAAGTACATTTAGAATGATTGAGGTTAGCTCATCTACTTTCATTGCTGCCCACAAAAAAAGAGTGAGCTCAGGTGGAAAAACAGTGATTTAAAATGAATATAAAAGAACCTAGCATTATAAAATGCCAAAGAAATCTATAAAAAAAATTAAAACATTTTCCACTAGAGATTAAAAAGATAATTACGTTGGTTTCTCATTTATTTCCTTGATTACCATGGTCAAAGGTAATTTATATCTGGCTTTGATAGGTGTTCTTTGCCTCGAGGGATTTTTCCTTTCTAATTGTGTTTGTTTAGGTTAATAGAAAATGAATTTGCATTCCTTGAACTCCTACCAATTGAAGGTGAGTTGATGACTCAGAAGAATGCTTCACAGTTGGGGAAAATCCCTTTGGAATTTAAAAGACGCTAGGAATAATCCAAAAAGTAAATAATCCGTGGAAGAGTTAACTGTCCAGGAATTCGATAATCTCCTACATCTCTCCCATCACCTTTCAAGTAAAAATACCCATAACATAGTAGCCAGGGATCCAATATGTGAAATTTGGGGAAGATACCACTCTTCCATCCTGGTATCACATATGGTACCTTTCTTCACAGTTCCTTTTTTATATTATATTACATTATACCAAGTGTATTATGTTATATTACAATTAAGATAGGATTATATTTTATAATTATTTTAATGCCTTTTTATATGGCTTTCTGGACTCAATAGAATTGTGAAAATCCTACGTTTGGAGTAGATGTTCCAAGGATTCTTGCTGCAGTTGCAGAAAGTGAGGACATTTGCTAGAGCCTTCAGGTTCCTCTCATCTCACACTAAATGGCAAGGAAAAGTTCACAGCAAGTGAGGGACAAGAGAAGAGGAAGACTTGTTATTTTTTGCTTGTTGGTTATTTATCTCAATCTGGTTAAGTTTCTGAGTCCTATTATCAAAAATTGACTTTCACATTAAAGTATGAACACAGGGGTGCCTGGGTGGCTCAGTCAGTTGAGCATCTGCTTTCAGTTCAGGTCATGATCCCAAGGTCCTGGGATCTAGCCCTGCATCGGGCTTTTTGTTTGGCGGGGAGCCTGCTTCTCCCTCTCCCTCTGCCTACTGCTCCACCTACTTCTGATCTCTGTCAAATAAATAAATATAATCTTAAAAAAATAAAGTATGGACATACTATTTAAAAGTTTCAAAGAGGTATGAATATAGTTAGACATGAAAATCCTCTGCTCCTCCCCATCCAATTTCATCCCATTCTCCAGAAATAACCACTATGCACAATTTGATGTTATACATTTCTATGCATTTGCATACATGTAGAGCCATCAATAAGGAAACAGTTAAATAAATTACAATACACCCATCCTGCAAGATACTGCATAGCAGTTTTTTTTCTTAAGATTTTATTTATTTATTCATGAGAGACACACAGAGAGAGAGACAGATATAGGCAGAGGGAGAAGCAGGTTCCATGTGGAAGCCTGATGTGGGACTTGATCCTGGGACTCCAGGATCATGCCCTGAGCCAAAGGGAGATGCTCAACTGCTGAGCCAACCAGGTGTCCCAACATAGCAGTTTAAAAAACAAACAAAACATAGCCATAAATGACTGATATGTAATAAACTCAGAGTATATTATTTTCTCATTCATTCATGGCCTATTCATTTTCTCATTCATTCCTTCATCATGGCTATACTGCGATCTACTTACTATTGACACCATCCATTTATGATACAAAAAAAAACTGCAATATTCCGAAACATGCCTTTTCATGTCCTGTGTGAATATTTCTCTAGTACAGATAAGCAGAAGTGGAATTACAGGTTCAAAGGACATTTGCATTGAAAAGTTTAATCAATCCTGTCAAATTGCCTTTTAAACGTCTTTACCATTTTATAGTCCCTCCAATTGTATTTAAGCATATCCTGTTACTCTCCAATAAATCCTTACTTACATCGGATATTATCTAGTTCTTCAATTTTTGTTACATCTCACTGTTTGGGAATCTCATTGTTTTAATTTGTATTTCTCTAATTTTAGTGAAACATAATATTTTATATGTTCATTGGTCATTTATATATTTTTGTATATTTCTCATTCTTCTACATAGAGGAGGGGCTGTATTTTTCTTTTTGATTTGAAGGAACTCTTTTTTTTTTTTTAAAGATTTGATTTATTCATGAGAGACACAGAGAGAGCACAGAGAGAGAGGCAGAGACATAGGCAGAGGCAGGCTCCCCACGGAGAGCCTGATGTGGGACTCCATCCAGGAACTCCGGGATCTTGACCTGAGCCAAAGGCAGACACTCAACCTTTGAGTACCTAGGTGGCCCTGTAGAAAATCTTTATAATCCTAAATATTAATCTTTACCTATCATGCAACTTGCAAAATATTTTCTCCTGTTTCTTTTTTGAAATTTAGCTCTGTTTATGGTTGTTGCCAGCAAATTAAAAGTAATGCCCTCTACTTTTTTCAAATTCCTTATAACACTATTATTATTATTTTACATTTTATTCTTAAGTAATCTTTATACCCAATGTGGGGCTTGAACCCACAACCCTGAGATCAAGAGCTGCATGCTCTACCAACTGAGCCAGCCAGGTATCCCCACTATTACTTCTGTTAACAACATAGAAGGTGAGAAAAAGTTTGAGGTGCTTTCTTTTCAATTAAGATATTTCAGCTATTGTTTTCTGGGAGTTGCTTTTCTTAGAAGCAATTGCCTTTTCTAACAAGGATTAAAGGGCAGAGAAGATTCAAGAGATAAGGAATTAAACATGGAACAGGAAAGTAGAGGAGCTTTTCAGTCCCTTTTAATTATTTTGTTACTGTACAGAACGTCAGACAAGACCATGTGCTAATATATAAACAAAAAAAGACATTCTATGGCCAATTATCTTTTGGATTGCCTATAATAGGATAGGTTTTATGTTATATCTTACTGCATAATGTCCAGATTATTTTTAAAAATTACTTTACTTGTAATAGTAGATTGAGCTTTTTTAAATCGATACTTGATCCCTATAATAAATAGGTGGTATAGTCATCACTGCTGTCTAATTCCAGAACATTTTCATTATCCCCCAGAAGAAACCCTATACCCATTATCCATCAATTCCCCAGCCCCTGGAAACCACGAATCTATTTTGTGCCTCTATGTATTTGCCTATTTTAGACATTGCATATAAATGAGATCATATGATACATGACCTCTGTGTCTGGTTTCTTTCACTTAACAACATATTTTTTAAAGATTTTATTTATTTATTTGAGAGACCGAGAGACAGAGACAGAGAGGAAGGGGGGGGGTGGGCAGAGGCAGACGGAGAAGCAGATTTCCTGCTGAGCAATGAGCCAGATGCAGGTCTCTATCCCAGGACCCTGGGATCATGATCTGAGCCAAAGAAAGATGCTTAACTGACTGAGACATCCATGAACCCCTCACTTAGCATATTATTTTTAGGGTTCATCCATGTTGTAGCATGTATCAATACTTTATTCCTTTCTCTTCCCTTTAAAAATTTTTCTTACTGTTAAAAAATTTTAGTATAATATACGTAACATAAAATTTATCAATTTAAAAATTTATTTATTTATTTATTCATGAGAGACACACAGAGAGAGAGGCAGAGACACAGGCAGAGGGAGAAGCAGGCTCAATCCAGGGTCTCCAGGATCAGACCCCAGGCCGAAGGTGGCACTAAACCGCTGGACCACCAGGGCTGCCCAAAATTTATCATTTTAACCTTTTTTTTTTTTTTTTAGATTTTATTTATTTATTCATGAGAGACACACAGAGAGAGAGGCAGAAACACAGGCAGAGGGAGAAGCAGGCTCCATGCAGGAAGCCCGACGTGGGACTCAATCCCGGGTCTTCAGGATCACGCCCTGGGCCGAAGGGGGTGCTAAACTGCTGAGCCACCTGGGCTGCCCATTAACCATTTTTAAGTGTACAGGTCAAGGGCATTAAGTACATTCACAATGTTGCACAATCATCATCCCCATTCCTCTGCAGAACTTTTTCATCATCCCAAACTGAATCTCTGTCCCTATTAAACAATAATTACACATCCCTTAAATCTCTATTCTACTTTGTCTCTATGAATTTGACTACTCTCGGTACATCATATAAATGGAATCATACAATAGTTGTCCTTTTGTTTCTGCCTTATTTCACTTAGCATATTGCCTTCAAAGTTCATCTGCACTTTGCTTATATCAGAACGTCATTTTTTATGGCTGACTAATATTCCATTGTATGGCTAAACCACATTGTATTTATCCATTCATCTGTTGATGGATATTTGGATGTTCACACTTTTTGAGTATTATGAATAATGCTGCTATTAACATTCATGTACACATTTTTGCATGACCATATGTTTTCAATTCTCTTAGGTAGTAGAGACAGGTGGGGCTGTAGAGGAATTTGATGAGTAGTCAACTTTGCTCAGCAATTGATCATGACTGAGAGAAGGACAATGATCACCGGGATTCTGTGTCTCCTTTGAGGAAAGCTTGAGGATGTTTTTAGTTGTGTAGAGGATGCTTGTATCTTGTTAAATAAAAGCATAAAGTTGTTACAGTCTTCCTTTGGAAATTTAAGTATAGGTAGAAGGGTGCAAATGGATGCTAAGTAGCCAAATGGATGAACTATGCTGGTTACCAAGCACAGTTGTCTCAGATTCAACTCACCTTTCTAAACTCTACTTTGTAAGAGATAGAAACCTACTTTGTGAGTATAGAACCCTAATTGATATACATAGAGAGTATCAGTCAAATTTCTCAGGCAATGAGTGATCACTTATAACTTTATGTTCAAACTAAATTATTTGGGCTCTATGATAATTAAACATAACATAATAGAGAAGAAACTATGTTTTAAATGGTTACCCATTTTCCAAGCAGAGCTCTTCTTTCTTCAAATACCTACAATAAATAAAAAGAACAGAATGATTTTATATTTCATGGTTCAAAATACCCATTATAAGAAAGATATCATTAAAGTATCAATAAATAAAAACTGACAGTCTTTGCATTGTACCAACTGAGTATAAAAAGACAGATTTCATTCCTGAGAGGGTACGTTGGAGGTGATATTGTTTTTGTTTCTCCATGTGGAATTATTCATCTTAAAGAAAAAATAACACTTTTTTTAAAGGCAAGAAATAAGAAAAGAAAGGAATTGTAAAATGAAATCAATTTTAGAATTTGAAAGAAGGTGAAAAAAACTGACAAAGGAAAAACAGGAAAATGGAGATCCTCCTCCCCCAAATATCAATACTCTGAGAACCTGTGAAATTTATGAATGAGCAGCTCTGTTTTTATATTTCGATGTGTATTTATATCATAGGTGCATCACTGATATGTTTGTAGGATTAGAAATTTATATATGTGTACCTCTGGAAATACAACTCAGTGTTTATCTGTATAGGTTTGTTATTATATACAGGTTAGAACAGAAACCATGTCTTATTCATTTTTACATCTTCACTGTACAATATAAGGCATATTACAGGTACTCATGTTTGCTAGATTAAATGAATGTGGCTGTGATAAGGAATATCCTTATGAATGTATTGGCACAATGTGACTAGATTTATGTATTAGTGCAGAGGTGTTATTCTGAGCATCAGTCATATGTGTGTTTGAATGAATGAGGAAAGGAGACTGATGTGAGAATGTTTGGCAGAGGAGGGAGTTATGAGGAGAGGAAGCAAGAGAGAGTCAGGAACAGATGTGACTGTCTCTCTCGTGCCCTCATTCACCCCCTCTGTCAGCTTTCACAATTGGGATTGATGTTTTTTCCCTTCCTTTTAGCACTGCCTAAGTGCTCTAGTGCTGTAAGAATGTTCCCACTTGGAGAGTTGCTTAGGCCCATTTCTTCTCTTTTTTGTGGAGGAGGATGAGGAGCTGGTTTTATGCTTCTAACAGATAATGCTTTCCTTCCTTTTTTAGACTCTCAAACTCTAGTTTCAAAGGGCATACAAGGGATGTCTGGGTGGCTCAGTGGCTGAGCACCTGCCTTCAGTCCAGGGTGTGATCCTGAAGTCCTGAGATCAAGTCCCGCATCAGGCCTCCTGCATGGAGCCTGCTTCTCTCTCTGCCTATGTCTCTGCCTCTCTCTCTCTGTCTCTCATGAATAAATAAATAAAATCTTTTTTAAAAAAGCTATTTAAAAAGGCATACAAAATGGGAATTGAAATAATTGCTTCAACAACCATCTAAGGCCATGAAATGGCATTTTTGCTCCCGGCCAGAGAATCTCATATATCACAGGTAGACACTTGATAGACTTTAGAGAAGAAGAATGCCCTTCTCCCTTTCCCCCTATTAGTCCTCCCCTGGGCTATTAGGACCCTCAAATAATGGCAACAGATAAAATTGGGATTTCTGAATGAAAACAGAAGATAACCTATAGAACACAGAAGATTTTAAAATCTGGATTCAAATATTTCCTCAACTCTTGCCCTCTAACCAAAGCCTATCAATCATCTGTTGCCTGACTCCAGTCAACAGCACCAGCACTTCTCTGATACCCAGGGATCTAGCTCCTCCCAACTCATATTCCATTTATAGCCTGCATTCCACTTGGGCTTTACAGGGTTTACCATGACTCTTTAGTTGTTTCTAGTCATTTTATTTTCCCATGCGGATTACAACCACTTTCTCCATAATCTGTCCAGGTTGCAAGGCAGGCCCTCAATAAACACCTGCTGATTGAACAACAACAAAAAAAGCTTCAAAAGTCATAGAATTTTAGAGCTAAAAGGAATTCCTGAGATCTTTTCAATTTCCTTATTTTAGAGAGGACAAGCAGAGGCTCAAAGGCTTACATTTATAAATTTTATTTTACTTTTTTAAAGATTTTATTTATTCACAAGAGACACAGAGAGGGGAAGAGAGAGAGAGAGAGAGAGAGAGAGAGAGAGGCAGAGACACAGGCAGAGGAAGAAGCCAGCTCCAAGCAGGAAGTCCAACGTGGGACTTGATCCCGGGTCTCCAGGATCACACCCTGGGCTGAAGGCAGTGCTAAACCGATGAGCCATCCGGGCTGCCCTAAATTTTAAAAATCACTGGTTCAGTTGGCTGTCTGTTCAGCTCAACCCTACCGGGTTCCTCACTATAACTGTGGTCTTCCCTATTCTGACTTCCAGCCCTACATTTGAACTGCTGGGAAGAAGAAAATGTTACCACAACCTCTTTTCAAAAGGCAAATAAGGTGACCATCATAGTGCCCAGTGACAATATGGGGCATTGGAAACAAAGGGGCACTGACTTGAAGGGGAGAGAAGATAGTCAGCAAGAAGGTAGCAGGAAGGGGCACCTTTGGCTCAGGTCATGATCCTGGGGTCCTGGGATTGAGTCCTGCATCCAGCTCCCTGCAGGGAGCCTGCTTCTCCCTCTACCTATGTCTCTGCCTCTTTCTTTGTGTCTCTCACAAATAAATAAATAAAATCTTAAAAAAAAAAAAAAGAAGGTAGCAGGAAAGGAATGGAGTGGGAGGTGGGGAGTGTTACTTAGGCTAACACAGTAGTCTTTTTTTTTTTTTTTAGAGGACAGAGTCGGGGAGAGGGAGAGAGAGAATCTTAAACAGGCTCCATGCCCAGTGCAGAGCTTGACGTGGAGCTCGCTCTCATATCCCTGAGACAATGATCTGAGCCAAAACCAAGAGTCAGATGTTTAACCAACTAAGCCACCCAGGCATCCCTAAAACAATAGTCTTTAGAGGGCCAATGACCAAGTCTAAGCAGGTCTAAGCAAATCCACTTCTTACAAAGGCATCTAGATCCAAATGGAAACCGGGAAGAGGAATACCACTAGACAAGCTCAGTTCTGGCTCTGACTCGACCCTTGCAAGAAATAGAATTTGGGACACACTATTTGTCAGGTGTTCAGTCTTATATTCTCTGGTTTATTTTATTTTTTTTAAATTTTTTATTTATTTATGATAGTCACAGAGAGAGAGAGAGAGAGGCAGAGACACAGGCAGAGGGAGAAGCAGGCTCCATGCACTGGGAGCCCGACGTGGGACTCGATCCCAGGTCTCCAGGATTGCGCCCTGGGCCAAAGGCAGGCGCCAAACCGCTGCGCCACCCAGGGATCCCTTCTCTGGTTTAGAGTTAGTTTTCATTCCAAAGACTTGCAATGAGGTTTGTCCTCTTAAAGAGCTGAAAAACAAAGTATTGATTCAAAATAGAAATATTAAAATGGATCATCTTTCCTCCCAGAGCCCTGCAGTTTGTTTATATCACAGTTTATTCAGAGCCTGCTGTTAAGTCAAATCCTACGGTTGTTATTTTAGTCTGTTGACACTGCAGTTACATATTTCACCATGCGACATCATTACAGTGTAGGAGTGAAACATTTAGGGGCTCCTAAATTATGAGTGATGGATGGTAACTAGGTGCTTTTTCTCAGAACACCTTTTAACATGTAACTGTACTACATCTTGAAAAAGAAATGTTGGCTACTTTCAATTAAAACACTAGATGATGGGCCACCTAGGTGGCTCAGTGGTTGAGCCTCTGCCTTTGGGTCAGGGCATGATCCTGGAGTCCTGGGATTGAGTCCCACACTGGGCTTCCTACATGGAGCCTGCTTTTCCCTTTGCCTATGTCTCTGCCTCTCTCTCTCTATGTCTCTCATGAATAAATAAATAAAATCTTAAAAAAAAATAAAACACTAGATGGCAAAGAAATGCATACTTTAAAAACACTCTTCTCTCAAAATTCATAATGCCCAAGTTATTTTGAAATCTGTCACATTTGGCTATGCTGATCATAGTATCTTTTAAGGCATCTGAATTTGAATTCAATCTCTGTGCTAAAGGCCTGCTGCAAAGTTAAATTCCTGTACCTGGTGAAGCATCAAATGTTGTATGGAAGTGTTGAATCACTACATTGTACACCTGAAACTAATATTACCCTCTATGTTAACTAACTAGAACTTAAGTAAAAACTTAAAATACTGTGACCCTTTTTAAATCTAAAATAGTTGCATAGTTTACATTTTACTACAGAATCGAACAAAGACACAATTGAAATGAGAACAGAAAACAGGACCTCAAAATTACACCAATCATTGGTGACATTTAAATGCCCTGTTTTACAAGTATAGAAAAACCCTTGACATTATTTATGCATAGACACCTTCTGGCCAGCTGCATCCTTGGCATCTATTTTTAATATATTTTACACAGAATGTTAGATCTGGAAGTAACCTCCAAGATAATCTGATCCAACATAACTCATTTTATAAAGGAGGATGGTAAAGCCCAGAGAAAGGAAGTGACTTATTCAAGTCATGTAGGAAATTATCAGTGTTCTGGAACCAGAGTTTTCAATTCCCAGAATTATTGTTCTCTCCTTACTCTTATTTGTATCATTTTTAGATTGTTTTAAAATTTGGAGTTTTAGAAATTTTATTGCACTATGTAAAGTAAAAAATGAAAGCTTTCTTCTTACAGGACCACCTCCCCCAATGCCATCTAACTCTTTGGGGAAAACCATGATTAATAGTTTGGCACTGGGGCACCTGACTGGTTCAGTCAGTAGAGCATGTGACACTTGATCTGGGGGTTGTGAGTTTGAGCCTCACATTGGGTATAGAGATTACTTAAAAAAAATAATTTGGTCTACCCATATACAAATTTTATGTGTGTCTATGTACATCTACACATTTATATGTATGTGTGTGTGTGTGTGTGTATGCAGATATTTAAATGTTAAACATCTGATTCTTGATTTCAGCTCAAGTCGTGATCTCAGGGTTGTGGGATCATGCCCCAGGTCAGGCTCCTCACTCAGCAGGGAGCCTAGTTAAGATTCCCTCTCTCTCTGCCTACCCCATAACAAATAAATCTTTTTTAAAAATAGAGAGGTCTAAAGAACAAAATAAACATTATCTCAAGAAATTATCATTTTGAGACAAAAACTATTAAAAAACCAAGATGAGATAATGTAATGCTTGCTGTGATCTATTGCCCAGGATTTACTCACCCACCTGTTGGGAGTGATGTTGACTGTCAGCCATGAGCTTGAGAGCTCTGCTTTGTTCCAGGTTAGGCCCTTCTATGGGATAGCTAACATCTACTGAATAGTCAGCATAGAAGTCTATTTTTTTATTATTTACTTATTTATTTAAATAATCTCTACACCCAGTGTGGGGCTCAAACTCACAACCCTGAGATCAAGAGTCAGATGCTACACCAACTAAGCCAGCCAGATCCCCCAATGTAGAAGTATATAGGCAGGTGGCTACAGGGCCAGGCCTCAGACCTATGGCTTTCTCTCTCTTCCTCCCTCCTTCTCCCCTCATCCATCTCCCCTTTTTTCCCTTCCTTTCCCTGGTGCTGATCCAGAAAGCCCTCCACAATCAATGCTCTACACACTAATCTCAAAGTCTGAGTCTCTAGTAAGCCAACCTGCAATGGGCAATCAGGCAATTAAGATACTTTTTTTTCTCCGCAGCTGCTAAATCGACCAAGACTTCTAATTTTTCAAAGATAATTTCTGAAAATCAAGGCACCCAACAAATATGTATTTTGATTCAAGTCACTTTTTCACATATGTGTAAAACCTTCACAATTCTATGAGAAAACAGATTTCAAAACCAAACACTGAAGCTTTTTGGTAGGGGAAAGCAGAGAAGCTGTTAGATAAACTGTTGTGAGTGCCAAGAACATTAACAAACAGGTGCTCAATAAACAGTTGTTGAGCTGAATGAAAAAAGACTTTCTCAATAAACTTGCAGCGTTTGCGCTCATGGCCAGATGAAGGCTGAATTTCTGTCTCTCATTCTCCGCCTTGCCTTTTGTTTCTCCTGGTCCCTCCTCTTAGTCTATGTATCATTCTTCTTTTCTCATTTCTTTTATCTTTTTCCTTTTCAGTCTCTCTCCCTTTTATTTCTCACTATTACGAGGGCTACACTAATATCTCTCTCCTCAAAATTGCTAATGTTTCATATCAGAGAGTAGAAACAGAAAAGTGCTGAACAGGAGAGGTCAGGACGGATGCTCTTGCTTTGCCAGGGTGGTTAGCATATCTATTCACTTTCAAGGCCAAGGCTCAAATTCAGACTAAGGAAGGAGGGATTTAGAGACTAGAAGGAGAGAGACAGTGAAGGAGGTCCCAGGGAGGATGGCTAAATTCTGACTCCATCTTTTGGAACTATGTCAGGCATGGAAAATGCAGAGAGAAAAGATAGAATCACAGCTCTTAACACATTACAGTCGAGTGGGAAAGTTGGTAAACAGTGATGAGAGCAAAGAGAAGCAAGCAGGAGGAGGTTCTCCCAAGAAAATGACATTTGAGTTGGCTAGTAGGGGAGGCAGCAAGGGGAGCAAAAGAGTGGAGGTGTGAGAGACCATGGCTCATCTGGAAGCCACTTAATTGGCCTGAGCATAGGACAGAAGGAAGCAGTGGCAGGGCTTAGAACTGAGAGGTTAGCTGAGGTCAACTTACAAAAGATCCTCATTGCTAGGTGTAGTGATTTGGAATTTACTCTGTGGAGCAGGGTCTGTTATCAGTTTCACACTGTAGGATTCACTTGGTATTTTATTTTTAAATTTTATTTATGTTAGTTTTTTTTATTTTGATATTTTAGAAAAATCATTCTGGGGCCAGACTAGAAGATGGATTGGTAGGAATTGAGGCAATGAAACCAGTTGGGGGTTACAGCAGTGCATCAGGCAGAGGGTTATGAGAGTATATGAACCAACGATGTGAAGCTGGAGGCATATGTAAATGAATGCAGGAAAGGGGCCCAGATGAAAAGGAAGACTTCTAGAACTTGAAAATGAATTAGATGGGGACACCCGGGTGGCTCAATTGGTTAAGTATCTGCATTTGCTCAGGTCATGATCTTGGAGTCCTGGGATCGAACCCCACATCCCTACTCAGCAAGGAAGCTACTTCTCCCTCTGCCACTCCCCCTACTTGTACTCTCTTGCTCTCTCTCTGTCAAATAAATAAAATCTTTAAAAAAATGAATTGGATGTGGAAGTGAGGAGTGAGGGGGTACTGGTAGACACACCTCTTTGGGTCTCCCTCTTATACTCCTAAATATCTTGGAATACTAAGGGTGCAAGGTCTTCATTGTTCTTTCCTTGGGACCATTTTTTCCAAGGTACATTTGGAGTAAGACAACCTTGAGTAATGAGATACTATCTCTCTTTGGGGCCAAGGGCAGGCTTGCTTACTGCTTAGTATAAAAGCAGTGGATTCCCTGGGCTCACTGTTTCTTAGTTGTGATGTAAACCCATGGTGTGTGTAGTATTTTTTTGGGCCTTCTGGAGCACTCTTGTGAGAAAAGGCAGACAAGAAGAACCAATGCAAATGTGGTGCTCCTGCTGCTTGCTGCACTGTAACAGAGATTTTTGTCTCTGACCCAAGAATCTTGTGTTTTCCTGTGAAAGAGTAGTGTCTTCTATGCCATAAGTAACAGACTAAGTTATTAGCATGTAAATTGGGGAAAACCCATCCAGAGCTGGCATGGAGAAGGATAATTTCTGGCTTGAGTGACTTGGTGTAAAGTGATGCCTTTTACCAGAAGGAGGAACTGGAGTATAGGAGCAAGATAATCAAGTCAGTTTTATTGATGTTGATTGTATTTTACTGACAACTAGGTGTGGTCCTTGTAATAGGTATTGACTATAGGAGCTCACTGACCTGTTGGTAAATTCTGCCCTTAAGTGAAGTAGGAATAGAAATCCCCAGAGGTTGGCCAGTCTCACACACCAGCATGATACTCAGCTTCGCATCTCTGCGGTCCTTTGGTGCATTCTATTAGTGATTTCCCGGAATGCAGGTAGGAAATAAACTTCTTAGGAGTAGCTGAGTAATGTTAGTATCAATTGAGATTTATTCATTTTATTTGGTTAAATGTGCAGCATTATCCAGTAACCGAAACTCTAGCAAGAAAATCTTTTTTGAGAACTCCTCACAGACAACCCTTTCCTCTCTCATTCCTGATGGTTCCAGCAGAGAATCAGTGATGGAAGAGAAAAGCATTTGGGATGAAAGAGAGAAGAGCAGTGACAGTAGATATGGATGAGGAAAGAACAAATCTAACACATTTTCATCATGGGCAGGGATCCTGTCTACTGCCAGCCTTGCCCACATAGCAAGGGCTCAACTAAGTTTTTTTTTTTTTTTTTTTTTTTTTTTTTTTAATTCTCCATTTGCTTCTTTTTTCCCCGAAGATTTTATTTATTTTTTCATGAGGGACACTGGGAAAGGCAGAGACACAGACGGAGGGAGAAACAGGTTCCTCAAGGGGAGCCCGATGTGGGACTTTATCCTGGGACTCTGGGACCATGGCCTGAGCCGAAGACAGATGCTCAACCACTGAGCCACCCAGGCATCCCTCCATTTGCTTTTTAATCAATCACACAATCCTAAACAATTCTTGTTCATATTTTGATAAATAACATTTTAATACTTTTTTTTCTTTAAGGCATGGATGCAATAGATAAAATGGCTCCAGTCACTTACCCGATCATTCAAAAGCTGATGGTTTAGGGGTGTCCAGGTACTCATCTTTGTCTGCATTTTGGGACCATCTATGCATTTTGGAGGTGCAAATGCCATCATAAAATAACTGAATATCCTTCCATAAGAAAAATCATACCTATCAGAAGAAATGAATCATGTAATCTTCAGAATATTGAAAGCACTAACACCACACCATCTTTTAGCATGTTGACAGAGAGAATTGGGGGGAAGAACATTTATGGGAGCATTTTATAGGTCAGGCACTTTATATCCATGCTAAAAGCTCATAACAATTTGAAGAGTTGGTAGGTTTTAGCTCATTTTATATATGGAAAAAATGAAGCTCATTGAAGTTATATACCTTGCCTAAGTTTATACAGACAGTAGGTTGTGGAATTAGAAATCATATCAGATCTGTTTAAATCACTCCTACCTAGAATATACTGTACTGGCCAGAAAGAAGTATTTTAATTTATAAAATCATAGTGTGACTGAAAGCACTCTATCCCAGTCCCTTGTGTCCTTCTTCCTCCCCTCTTTCTGATCTCCATATTTAAGAAGTAGAATGGTGTAATGGACAAAGCTAAGCCTTTAGAGATGGATAGATTTGGTTTTACTAGGGGAAATGTGCTGTTTTTTAAATGCCCACTATAGGTCTACATTCATTTAATTAAAACACTTTAATTCTCATGAAGAATTACTTTGCCCTCAGTGCTTAAAATCTACTCATTTGGTTAATCAAGGTGGCCTCCTCTTCCTCAGCCAAGACATGATTATGAGACCAAGCTAGGCCAGTTGGACTGACACTGGCTCTTCTTTACTGGACGGCTGAGGTTGTTGTTCACAGTAGCGCTGATGTTCTGTCAAATTGCTCCTGCTGCCTTACCCCTCAGAAGCCCCTTGTCCCTTCTTACTCATTTTGTGAGCTACCTGACATCCTTGCAATAAATTTCCTCTTTCTGCTTATTTATTTACATTGCAAACACTATATTTGCTAACATTAAAAGTTATAAAACTTTTAACTTTATACAGGTTTGATCTTGGCTCTAAAACCTACTAGCTGTATAATGTTTGGCAAATTATTCAGTCTATCTGAGCATTTAATCTATTTGCATCTACCTCCAACCACTGTTTCAAAGACTGGAGAAAATGGGTCCAGCAGAATGCCTGACAAATGGATGGTCTCAATAACTAGTAACTTCCCTGTAACCTTTCCTAGAACTTTCTGTCATTTACAGGGTGCCTCAAAACCTATTAGAGAGCCATAACAAAATATTTAAAGTGGAAAACATTTAAAACGGGTTGATGATAGTTTCAATATATATCTTCAGAGTATCTGCTTTCTTCTGCCTTCCTTCCTCTCTGAAGGTGGGTTTCTATCAGAAGGCAGTGGTCGTGACCAAGAGAGCCAGGGCTTGCCTGCCTGTTCTTTCTTTTTTTTAAGATTTTATTTATTCATTCATGAGAGACAGAGAGAGAGAGAGGCAGAGACATAGGCAGAGGGAGAAGCAGGATCCTTGTGGTGAGCCCCATGCAAGACTCAGTCCCAGAACCTGGGGATCACAACCTAAGCCAAAGACAGACGTTCAACCACTGAGACATTCAACCTTGCCTGCCTGTTCTATGGGCTCCAAAGACTACTCTACAGAAGAAAAGACTAGACAATTAAACACACACACACACACACACACACACACACACACACACACACATTACTTTTTGGCTGATATGGGATTTCCCCGAAAGCTAAATCTGAACTCTTTGAGGCTCTCACTTGACAGGTAATATTCTCTCTTGGGTTTGAGTTATAGCAGAAGATAAAGCCAATGTTTGAAAACTACAGGGGCATCATTACACAATTCCTTCTTGGCAGTTGCCTCCTGCCACCACTCCACTGGTATAAAGAAGACTCACATCAGCACTCACATTTTCCCCAACCTCTAACAGTTAATTATCTGAGTCACATGTGAGCCAACCTGCAAAAGGTATAAGAAATTATTTCATTACAGTTTTGTTAATTGGCAGCTATAAAAGTACGTGCGAGTGGGCAAGTTAAAGATACAAAACATGGTCTTTGAGCCTAGATCTGCTCAGTTAAAAAATCACCTATTTCTTTTTGTTTTGTATTGTTCTTACTTATGTTTGACCTTTTTTCTCTTTAAACCAGTTGTTGTTTTTAATCTTTTTTTTTTTTGAGGGTCATAAAGCTCTTGGAGAACATGATGAAAGCTATAAATCCTTTCCCTAGAAAAATGCACGTTAACACAAAATTTTGCTTAGCCCAGGTGAAAAACTCCTGCTGTAAGCTGAGAACTTTTCAGTTTGTGTAGGAAACAAGCTAGGCACAATTTCTGAATGAAGACAAAATAGCTTCTCTTGAGCTTCCCTAAGGTCCTGCACTGGCTGTTTTCCTTTTCCTGGTTCCTAAAAGCTAGAAATTATTTGAATTAGCCTTTCTTCAATCAACTTGGTTTTCAGGAGATGGGGCTGGCCAGGAGAAACAGCTCTCTTGGTAATACAGTTCTGCTGAAGCATTCAAATGGGGCTGTCCTGCCCTTGCCTTCGTCATTATTCTTTTGTGGGTTTTTTCCTCCTCTTCCCATTCCAGAAGATGCGCAGTGTACATACCTGCATGTACACACATGTTCACAGCACAAACACTCAGGATTATTACAAAGACAGACATTTTTATATAACATACACAAGAAATAACTGTCCCCACTTTTTGTCACCAAGACAAAGCAAGCTGTCTTCCTCTCCTTCCACATAGAAAGCTTGCTCCTGTTTTTTTGTGTGACCTCTTTCCACTTTAATGGCTGTCCCTGAATGCTGATCTTTAATTTTCCTTTAAATGAAAAGGAAAAAAGAGGGTCTTTGGCCTTAACCCCCAAAGTATGGTTCTAGTTCCACATTCAACAGCAAGAATGGGTCCTCTGGTGAAGTTTCAGGGGTTACAAACCTCCAATCTCATTTTCAGACCCACACTGTCACCATTATTTGACTTTACTAAGGACCTACTAGTCCTGTGTTAGGGGTACAAATATAAGAGTCTTTGCTTTAATAGAGCATGCAGTCTACTGGAAGAAAGTTTTTTTTTTTTTAAAGATTTTATTTATTTATTCGTAGAGAAAGAGAGAGAGGCAGAGACACAGGCAGAGGGAGAAGCAGGCATCATACAGAGAGCCTGACGTGGGACTCGATCCAGGGTCTCCAGGATCAAGCTCTGGGCTGCAGGCGGCGCTAAACCGCTGTGCCACCGGGGCTGCCCTTTTTTTTTTTTTTTTTACAAAAAATGTATATATTTAAGGTGTACAACTTGATGTTTTGATATATGTATCAATTTGATATATGTATCAATGTAATCATTGTGAAATTATTACAATCAAGGTATTTAACAGATCCATCACCTTTCATAGTTAGCATTTTTGTATGTTGAACACATGAGAGCTACTCTTAGTTTTCTTTTTTTTTTTTTTTAAGATTTTATTTATTTATTTATTTGACAGAGAGTGAGAGGGCACAAGCAGGGGGAATAGCAAAATGAGAGGGGGAAGCAGACTCCCCGCTGAGCAGAGAGCCCAATGTGCAGTTTGATCCTAGGATCATGCCCTGAGCTGAAGGCAGATGCTTAACTGCCTGAGCCACCCAGGCACTCCTCTCTCTTATTAGTTTTTAAGTATAAAACATATTATTAATTACAGTCACCATGCTAGACATTAGATCTCCAGAACTTATTCATCTTATAACTGAAAGTTTGTACCCTTTAATCAATGTCTCCCTACATCCCCTAGTCCCTGGAAACCACCATTCTACTAAGGGAAATATTTTTTTTTTTTATAAATTAATTTTTATTGGTGTTCAATTTACCAACATACAGAATAACACCCAGTGCTCATCCCGTCAAGTGTACCCCTCAGTGCCCGTCACCCATTCACCCCCACCCCCCACCCTCCTCCCCCTCCACCACCCCTAGTTCATTTCCCAGAGTTAGAAGTCTTTATGTTCTGTCTCCCTTTCTGATATTTCTCACACATTTCTTCTCCCTTCCCTTATATTCCCTTTCGCTATTATTCATATTCCCCATATGAATGAGAACATACACTGTTTGTCCTTCTCTGGTTACTGTGGCCAAGTTCAAAAAGGGTGTTGCCTGAGTTCTTCTCTGGGATTTTGATGGAATCTTGTCTCACATTTAGATCTTTCATCCATTTTGAGTTTATCTTTGTGTATGGTGCAAGAGAGTGGTCCAGTTTCATTCTTCTGCATGTGGATGTCCAATTTTCCCAGCACCATTTATTGAAGAGACTGTCTTTCTTCCAGTGGATCGTCTTTCCTCCTTTATCGTATATTAGTTGAGCATAAAGTTCAGGGTCCACTTCTGGGTTCTCTATTCTGTTCCATTGATCTATATGTCTGTTTTTGTGCCAGTACCACACTGTCTTGATGAACACAGCTTTGTAGTACAACCTGAAATCTGGCATTGTGATGCCCCCAGATATGGTTTTCTTTTTTTAAAATTCCCCTGGCTGTTCGGGGTCTTTTCTGATTCCACACAAATCTTAAAATAATTTGTTCTAAGTCTCTGAAGAAAGTCCATGGTATTTTGATAGGGATTGCATTATACGTGTAAATTGCCCAGGGTAACATTGACATTTTCACAATATTAATTCTGCCAATCCATGAGCATGGAATATTTTTCCATCTCTTTGTGTCTTCCTCAATTTCTTTCAGAAGTGTTCTGTAGTTTTTAGGGTATATTTTGAGAACCATTTGAATGGTAAATGGTTCTCCAACCTTTTATTTTCAGGTTGTAGGTGTCCTTCTGTCTAAAATGAGTCTCTTGTAGACAGCAAATAGATGGGTCCTGTTTTTTTATCCAGTCTGAAACTCTGCGCCTTTTGATGGGGTCATTAAGCCCATTCACGTTCAGAGTTAATTGAACTTCTTCTTAAAGGGGAGTTTTAAGAGTCCCCCTTAAAATTTCTTGCAGAGCTGGTTTGGAGGTCACATATTCTTTCAGTTCCTGCCTGTCTTGGAAGCTCTTTATCTCTCCTTCCATTTTGAATGAGAGCCTTGCTGGATAAAGTATTCTTGGTTGCATGTTCTTCTCATTTAGGACTCTGAATATATCCTGCCAGCCCTTTCTGGCCTGCCAGGTCTCTGTGGAGAGGTCTGCTGTTACCCTAATATTCCTCCCCATGAAAGTCAGGGACTTCTTGTCTCTTGCTGCTTTAAGGATCTTCTCTTTATCTTTAGAATTTGCAAGCTTCACTATTAGATGTCGAGGTGTTGAACGGTTTTTATTGATTTTAGGGGGGGATCTCTCTATTTCCTGGATCTGAATGCCTGTTTCCCTTCCCAGATTGGGAAAGTTTTCAGCTAGGATTTGTTCAAATACATATTCTGGCCCTCTGTCCCTTTCGGCGCCCTCGGGAACCCCAATTAAACGTAGGTTTTTCTTCCTTAGAGTGTCATTTATTTGCCTTAATCTGTCTTCATGGTCCCTTAATTGTTTGTCTCTTTTTTCCTCAGTTTCCCTCTTTGCCATTAACTTGTCTTCTATGTCACTCACTCGTTCTTCCACCTCGTTAACCCTCGTCGTTAGGACTTCTAGTTTGGATTGCATCTCATTCAATTGATTTTTAATTTCTGCCTGATTGGATCTAAATTCTGCAGTCATGAAGTCTCGTGAGGCCTTAATGCTTTTTTCTAGAGCCACCAGTAGCTGTATAATGGTGCTTCTGAATTGGCTTTCTGACATTGAAGTGTAATCCAGATTTTGTAACTCTGTGGGAAAGAGGGCTGTTTCTGATTCTTTCTTTTGAAGTGAGGTTTTCCTTCTAGTCATTTTGCTCAGTGCAGAGTGGCCAAAAACAAGTTGTATTGGAACACGGGGGAGTATCACTGGTCCGTCTAGCTGGTCTTCTGGGGGAGGGGCCTGCTGTGCTGATTTTCAGGTGTTAGCACTTGGGGGAGCTGCTCTGCCCCTGCCTGCTGCAGGGCTCAGCGGGGGTTGTTTACCCCGTGGGGCCCCAGGAGGAACAGCAGCAGTTGCTATGGCAACTCTGGAAGCCTGGATTCAGCCTCCGCAGGAACTACGGGGCGGGGCTCAGGGCTCTCGGCTCTCCGTCCGCAGGGCCTGGAGGCTCCGGGGCGGGGCCGCTGATGTGCTCAGCTCAGGGCAGGAGCGTCCTCGCTGTCCTGGGCCCTCCCGGCCTCTGCCTGTCCCGGGGGAGGCCGGATCCTGGGCTGTGTCCCGGCGCCCTGTGCTCCGGGGCCTGCGCTGTGGGATTCGCGCTCCCGCCCCGCAGCCCCCTCCGCGGAGCCGCCGCCCGAGCCCCTCCGAGCTGCTCCGGGTCCCGCCGTGCGCGCTGCAGCCCTTAGGGAGCTCGGCGCACTCTCCTGCGCTCGCAGGTGTCTGTTAGTGTCCCCGGGAGCCCGAGGACATCCCCGCCCTCCTGGGTCCTGCTCCAACTCCCTGCGAGCCCCTTTCCACCCGGGAAGGTTGGTGCAGCTCCTGCTCCTCCGGGACGGGGCTCTCCTGTCCTGGGGACACTCGCCCCGGCCTCAGCCCGGCTCCTCGCGGGGCCCCTCCCCCTCGGAGGCCTTTTGTTCCTTTATTTCTTTTTCCCCGTCTTCCTACCTTGATAGAAGCGCGGACTCTTCTCACTGTAGCATTCCAGCTGGTCTCTCTTTACATCTCAGGCCGAATTCGTAGATTTTCAGGATGGTTTGAAGGTTATCTAGGTAATTTGGTGGGGACAGGTGATTTGGGGACCCTGCTCTTCCGCCATCTTGCCCCTCCCCCCGGGAAATATTTTTTTTAAAGACCAGTTGAGAGCAGTCCAGGTGGCTCAGTGGGTTAGCACCGCCTTCAGCCCAAGGCGTGATCCTGGAGACCCGAGATTGAGTCCCATGTCAGGCTCCCTGCATGGAGCCTGCTTCTCCCTCTGCCTGTGTCTCTCATGAATAAATAGATAAAATCTTAAAAAAAAAATAAAGAACAAGTTGAGGGATGCTTGGGTGGCTCAGTCGGTTAAGCATCTGCTTTCAGCTGCTTTCATGATCTCACAGTCCTGGGATCAGGGTTCCTTCTTAGCAGGGAATGTACTTCTCCTTCTTCCTCTTTCTCTGCCCCAACCCTGCTTGTGCTCTCTCTCTCTCTCAAATAAATAAATAAATAAATAAATAAATAAATAAATAAATAAATAAATAAATAAAATCTTAAAAAAAAAAAAAAAAGACCAGTTGATTGTACCACTTTTCAGCTCAAAAACCTTCAGAGGCTCTCTGATGGCTACAACATAACCAGACTCCTTAGCATGGAAGTCTAGGTCCACTATGAGTTTACCTCAACCTACCTTTTCAGCCTCATCCCCCTCTTTCTCCCTTCACGCACTATCCACCCAGACACACGGAACTTTGGTACAAAACAACCAGTACAGAACTCTGATGCTTCTTTGCTCATGTGGTTTTCTTACATTACTCACCTGAATCCTAATCCCAGCACTACATAATCGGTGCTCAAATATTTGTTAAATCAACTGACTGAATGAACACAATAGTGGAGAAGAAGCAGTTTAAAGATTAAAACTAATACAAATGTAGGATAAAACTCAGAACATTATGAATTGAACACTGGAATTAAACTCAGGATTATTGGATTTTTATTTGGAATTAACAGACCAAAATAGGATTGAGTTTCTCTGCCAACACACATTGTGCAGTGCTGTATCATCAGAGAAGGAAATAATATTATCAGAAAATTATCAGGAAACAAGGTATGATTAGATTTCAACATGAATTCATCTTATATTCAACTAATTAGAGCAAAGCAAAAACTACACTAGATCCAAAGAGCTAGTGTCTGATAGGCACAGAAATAATTAACTGTTGTTAATTTCGTAAGTATGAAGCATCTGGCACTTAAACTGCAGCTGAAAGGGAGCAAAATGTAATCCCCAGGAGCACTAACAAGATTTGTGAGAGGCCCAGGAGAATCTCAGAGTGGAGCTCTGTAAAGAGTCTCCATCTTTTTCATGCACTGCCCACTGCTCTCACCTCTTTCAGCTCACCTCCCTCTTCAAGCCTCAAGCGCTGGTGTTGCCATGGCAGCTTTTTCTTTGACTCTGTCCAGCCCCCACCCTTCCTTCCAGTAGTCCAATCACCATCTATAGATCCTTTCTCTGGCATCCGGGGTCTCTTAGGCAACAATGTGTGGTCTCTTGATTGGTCAAGAGATTCAGGAGGGCTGGCTCCAAAATTGGGCACACGGAGACAATTAAAAAAGCCCGAGTGCCAAGAGGGTGGGAGGGCCTGCAATCTCCCAATATAATGCCGCAAGAAAGATGCGTCCAATCCGGACACTAGAAGCACTGACAAACACTCAAGACATATTTGTGTTCCAAATGAGGGCAACCTACTGAGCATGCCCAATTATATTTCTCAGGCCATTCCCGAGCTCCAAAATGTAAATTCCACTTTTCCGGGTTTTAAGAGTGGCCAACAGGTAAAAGAGGGTGGGTGGGAAAAAAAACAACAACTCGCGACTAGTTCAATAAAAGAATAACACCTGCAGCAGGAAGTGGAAGGACGTGGGGAAATTGCCTAACTGACAAACTCACAAATGCTTCAACGTGAATTTCAGCAGGAATTCGGGCTGACTGACAGATACACCAGGGAACCAGCAGATGGCATGGCTTAATAAGAATAACTCCAAATTTGGAAAATTTTGGGATCCCTGGGTGGCGCAGCGGTTTAGCGCCTGCCTTTGGCCTAGGGCGCGATCCTGGAGACCCGGGATCCAGTCCCACGTCGGGCTCCCGGTGCATGGAGCCTGCTTCTCCCTCTGCCTGTGTCTCTGCCTCTCTCTCTCATTCTGTGTGACTATCATAAATAAATAAAAAAATTAAAAAAGAAAACTCTGCAAATTTGGAAAATTTTACAGACCGGGCTCATTTAAAATTCTTGAGCACCCATCATATAATTAGGGGCAGAGTGAGAACATAAGGATAAAAAAGATGAGAAAGACTGGAAAATGCAATGTGTAAATAACTAATATAAGACCCACATTGTTAACTGTTGTTGATAGAACTACAAACAAGTACTGGAGAACCACCAAAAATTCAAAATTCCAGACGGAGCTTCTTTGGTACATATAAAGGAGTTCCTGTGGGCAGCAGGTAACAACAAAAAGAAAAAAATAAAAAATCCCCAAACTTCACTATCTTATGCTTCCAAAAATAGATAAGAATATGCTCTCCTCCCAACTTCAGTGTAAACCTATGTTTCATAGTTTTCAGATAGGCAGCATTTGTATATCTCCAACTTGAAAAAGGAAAGTGAAGCTCGTAGAGATTGTTGCTTTCCTTGAGTTAACAAAGGATCTGTACTTGGCCAAACTGAAATTGGAACCTAGGTTGTCTGAATTCCAGCCCAGTGGTTTTTCCACATGATCAGGTTGTATGTAAATGAATAAACGAAGCCTTTGGTGGGGGATGGGCACCTGAGGGAGGTAGTAGATACAACGCTAAATTACCATGTACAGTATTACCAGTTAACATTTATGCTTTCAAAACGAGTTCATCCAGAAAGAGACCTGTTTTAACAACATGCTGGTTGAGTGCTATGTCTCTCTGTGAAGTTCCCACTCATTAAAGACTTTCTCTTGGGGGTTATAACATGAAATGAAAGGGATATGGGATAAAAGAAACCATCTCACTTTATCCCTGTTGAATTTCAGTAATTTTATACCTGAAAATAAGTGCCCTGTCGACTCTCCTCTCAACCAGCACCCTCTGGGTGTCCTCTGGTCCAGCACCTCATTCATCTAACTGCAGATGCTCCCTTTGCCCTGATCTGAATGACATCAGTCAATGTTCATAGTGAGCACACCAGCTTAAAGTCTGAAATACTTCAAACATAACAATTTAGAGACTACATAAGAAATACCCCTTATCCCCATCAAAAATTTAAAAAATATTAACATTTGCTTTGTGTGTGATTAACGGTTGAAGCCCCTTTTGTACACTTTCCAGATCTCATTATCCTCCCGCCTTTCTAGAGGTAACCACTATCTATGGATTGGTGTGTAGCCTACTTGCCCATTTTTTATGCTTTCTATATATACATGTTTGGTCTCATAAACAATACAGCCAGGTGTTTTTAAAGAGATACCATAATTTACCTATCTCATAGTTCGCTTTTTTTCTTTGTAGTTCACTTTTTTCAATGTTATATTTCTGAGATATAAACATGTTGGTACATGCACTGATAATTTCTACATCACTCCCACCTTTCCATGTGAGAGCTATATGTCCTATGTCTGACAGTTTTCACAGAATGGTGTGTAAAAATACATCTAGCTGCATATCTTTAGGTTCTGCAGGTATAAGGGATCTGGAACTACATAACGAACACATGCAGATTTTCATATATGCTATTTGCCTCCTCACCCACCCTCAGTGGGGGCAGTGTTGGCTCAACATGACACTTAGAATCAGCTGAAGGATCAGTGTTATTCAAAAAACAAAAACAAAAACAAAAAACAAGGGATGCCTGGGTGGCTTAGCTGTTGAGTGCCTGCCTTTGGCTCAGGGCGTGATCCTAGGTCTGGGATTGAGTTCCACATCGGGCTCCTGCATGGAGCCTGCTTCTCCCTCTGCCTATAGCTCTCTCCATCACTCAAGAATAAATAAATAAATCTTAACAAAAAACCACCACCAACAAACTATTACTGCATAGGTATTTACTAAGAATCTTTTTTTTTTTTAATTTAATTTATTTATGATAGTCACAGAGAGAGAGAGAGGCGCAGAGACATAGGCAGAGGGAGAAGCAGGCTCTATGCACCGGGAGCCCGATGTGGGATTCGATCCCGGGTCTCCAGGATCGCGCCCTGGCCCAAAGGCAGGCGCCAAACCGCTGCGCCACCCAGGGATCCCGGTATTTACTCAGAAAATTGAGAGCTCACTTCAGAGCTCATTTATTATGCTTTTCCCCAACCCTCACCATCCGAAGTTAAACTATGACTATCAAAGTTCCATACTCATTATTTAACACTTATGGAGTGCCTTTTAAAAACTGTGATAAAATACACTTAACATAAAATTCATCATTTTAACCATTAAGTGTACAGTTGAGTAGTGGCAGGTACATTCATGCTGTTGTGCAACAGGATCAATATTCCTTTAGGTCCCACGTAGCTATCAACAGAGCAAAATGATGCCTGTGAATTCCAGCTTGCAAAGGGAGAAAGGGAAATAAAGGCAGGTAAAACAGGATAATAATAATAAAAAATAAAAATAATAAATAATAATAAATATATTAAAATATAATACAAATAATTAAATAATAATTTAAAAAAGCTTTGGCTTTGAAGGAATCCAGACTCCCACTAAAAAGTTGCGTGACTCTGGGTAAGTCATTTCACCTTTCTGAGCATTCTTTTCCTCGTCTCTGAAAAAATGAGTGATTGGGTTTAGATCATCTTTAAGAACTCTTTCAGCTCTGAAATGGTTTAGGTAGAGGAAGAGAGGGAAAACATTTCCTAATGGAGAAAAAGATGGGGGAATGCTACCAATGACCACAAGCTCCCCCTGTGCACTGTGCTGACAACGTGGATGAAGCTGTTCCCAGGCAGGTATCCCGTCTGTTGCTCAAGCGTGAAGACCTGCAACAGGCCAGATGCCTACTCCTATCTGCACCCGAGGTCACCCTCGACATATGTAACCCGATTCTTGACCACTTCCAATCCCTTCCCTTGCAATGAGAGCATCCCAGGCTTTAAGATAGACTTAGAGAGAGAGAGAGAGAGGCAGAGAGATAAGCAGGCTCCATGCACCGGGAGCCCGACGTGGGATTCGATCCCGGGTCTCCAGGATCGCGCCCTGGGCCAAAGGCAGGCGCCAAACCGCTGCGCCACCCAGGGATCCCCCATCCCAGGCTTTAAAGAGGGGAGTCGCCGCGCTCTCTCAGCAGGGCAGGGAGGGCTTTGCAAACAGGGCTGCGTGATTTTAGAGTAACATTTCCAGAACTCGAAAGGCCTCCGCCGGGGCAGGGCGGCGCGAGGTGTCACCGAACGCCCGAGGCGGACGAGAACCCGGCGGACGGAGCGCCGGCACCTCGCGGCTGGCCTCAAAATGGGAGCGAGCGTTCGGCCAAGGGTGCGCGGCGCGCCTGCGCCGTGAGTGTGCGCGCGCACGCGCGCTCGCTCCCCGCGCCGCGCGCCCCGGCGCTCCCGAACGCTCGCGGTCGCTCGGAGGCGGCGCGCGCCGTTGGTCCGCGCTGGCTGGGGTTTACCTGCGGGACTCGCGGCCGCCCCGGGGGCCGGCCCTGCAGCACCCCCCCGCCCCGCCGCCCTTGGAGCCCGGCCCTGAGGTGTGAGGTGAGCGACGAGACGTGCGGCTCCCCGTCCGGCTTAGCTGGAAAAGGGGCGCGGGCCGTGTGGGGAAGGAGGAGGCGCCGCGGCGGCTGCCCGCTCCGCTGCCGAGCCCAGCGCTGAGGAGCCACCGCAGCTCCGGCACCTCCTCCTCAGGGATCGTGATTCTCGTCGCGGCCAAAACAAAAGCCTTCGGCGCCAGGCTGCGGCGGGTGGTCGGAGGGGCTCCTCGGGAGCCGCGGCGGGCCGCCGGGGTGCGGAGGACCCGAGTTTGCGGTGCGGGCTGAGGTGGGCAGACGCCGGGGAGGGTGTTAACCCTCTGCATCCTAAACCCGCGCCGGGCAACCTGTGCGAGTGTGGACCGCGGCTCCCTCGCCGTCCCCCTCGCCCCCCACCCCCGGCCCAAACGCGAGGCGAGGGAGGGGGTGTGGGGTGGGCGCCCACTCCCTCGGGCCGGCGCCGCGGGGGCGGAGGACGCGGCGCCGGCGGCGGGGGGAGGACAATGCGTCCAGGGCTCCGGGGCGCGTGGGGCCGGCTCGGGACCCACGTTCGGGTCGCCGCTGGCCTAGCTGTTGTGGGAGCGTTTGACCGACCTCTTCTTTCCAGTGCCCAAAAGTTGTCCCCTCAGTCCTGTCAGTTTCCGAAGTGTGCACACCCTCCGGAGGCTTCCCCCCGCTGCCCCCGTTTATGCTAATGTGTATTTGCCGTGAGGGTACTGCTGGGTAATTAATAGACGGCCTCTCCTAAAGGTGCTGTAAAAACACTTCAAGACCTTCTAAAATCTTCCCAGAAGCTCGTTAAATTTCAGGAGTCTTGGAGTTAGGTGCCTCCTCTGTAGGAGAAAGAGGGTTTTTGTTTTTTTTTTTTAAAATTCACCCCCCCCCTTTTTTTCTTATTTTTTTTTGAGAACAAAAGTGCAGGCCATGAATTTACAAATGGGATAGATTTGAAGTTGAAAGATATCTACCCAATAAAAGGGATCTTTTTTTTTTTTTTTTTTTTTGCCCAGAATTAAAATCAAATTTTGAATTTTGGTTCCCTTCCTGAATTGGGGCAGAGGCAGCAGCAGAGCAAGACCCACAGCTCTAAAAATGACTGTTGTAAAAAAAAAAAAAAGTATCCAGACAAAAATCTTATTTTATGAAAAGTAGTTTTGATAGACCTGTTAGGTTTATTGGTAGGAATCGGGTGACTTTGCAAAGCCGATACCACAAGAGCAAGGGAACAAAGACCCTGACTGACATGAGGGATGGTTTACCTCCTTGCTTTTCAGGCTGCTTCTAGGCTTCAGTGGTGTGCTGTCAGTCTTAGGAATAGATAAATCTTTAGTTCTGTTATTAGGAAGCAAGATAATGCTTTCCCTCCATACACTTTTAAGCAAATCAATACTATTTTTTTTTTTTCCTGGAGAAAAAAAAAAAAGCATTTACATGAACCACCAAGCCACAACGTAAGAGTATAATGATTCAGAGTTAGGGAAAGTAGGAAAGACGCGTGAAAGCTTAAGGGCAGGTTTGAAAGGATGGTGCTGAAGATAAAATATAATTAAAATACAGCCCTTCTCTTATCTTTTGACTTTTATTTAGTGAAATACCATGTACCTCTACCCCCCCACCCCCACCCCAAGTGTTTTGAAACTGTCAGGAGAATAAGTGAATAATAAAATCTACCATCCTACTTTCACTTTCCTACTATTTTTAATTTTTATTTTTATTTATTTTTTAAAGATTTTATTTATTTATTCATGAGAGACACACAGAGAGAGGCAGAGAAGCAGGCTCCATTCCACGCAGGGAGCCCGATGTGGGACTTGATCCCGGGACTCCAGGATCACACCCTGGGCCAAAGGCAGGCGCTAAACCGCTGAGCCACCCAGGCGTCCCTATTTTTTATTTATTTTTTTAATATTTTATTTATTCATGAGAGACAGAAAGAGAGGCAGAGACACAGGCAGAGGGAGAAGCAGGCTTCCTGGGGATAGCCTGATGTGGGACTTGATCCAGGACCCCAATATCACAGCCTGGGCCAAAGACAGATGCTCTACCACTGAGCCACCCAGGTGCCCTTTCCTACTATTTTTTAAAATCTCATCTGCTTACTGATATTTTCTACGTGTACACCTCTTTGAAATCTCAGTGTCCCATTAATACTAGAAAAAATGATGGTTGGATTCTTTCATTCTTTTCCCCATCTTAGCTATGGTATTCTTTTGAGCTTTATTTTGTGCTTTGAACACTTAGGTAGATTTTTCTTGGGAGTGCCATGATTGAGATATTTGAAGTAGAGAAGGTTGAGAGGAATTTAATAAAGTACACATTCTTCCTTTGTATAGTATGGTGCAGAAGGTTTTGTCATTGGGGAAGGAGAAAGGAGTTTTTAACTCATAATAAGTCTTCTGTTTCCTGCTTCAGGAAAAACTCTCTACTCATCTTAAATTTCATTATTAGTTTGTTAGTAAAACTGTAAGATTTTTTTTTATAAATTTTTTTAAAATTTTTATTTATTTATGATAGTCACAGAGAGAGAGAGAGAGAGAGAGAGAGAGGCAGAGACACAGGCAGAGGGAGAAGCAGGCTCCATGCACCGGAAGCCCGATGTGGGATTCGATCCTGGGTCTCCAGGATCGCGCCCTGGGCCAAAGGCAGGCGCTAAACCGCTGCGCCACCCAGGGATCCCCTAAAACTGTAAGATTGTATATTCAGAAGTAATTCTGAGCATATTAATTTGTTGGTAATAGGCTTCTGTTGACTTTATTTTCTTTAGGAAACGTGGTAGGAAACAGCTCTTGTATCTTTACTTTTCACAGAGGAGAGTGATGTTGGCCTCATGTTCTGTTTTGTTTTTTGTTTTTTAACTCCTAAAACTCTAGAACTATGTCTGGTTAAAGCTACCCACAAAAAGAGCAATAATGCAAATAAAAAGACTGATTTGGAAAATGTTGAAGAAATTATTCAATATAGATTTGAGAAAAGAGTAACAAGTCTTTACTGGCTAGGAAGGAAGGAGTTTTAACTGATGATTGCATCAAAAATACTTTTCACTTCTTTATACTGAGAACTTTTGACACTTGATGGATCTAAGGAATGAAGTATGTATGTTATTTATTTATTTATTTATTTATTTATTTATTTATTTATTTATTTATTTATGATAGTCACAGAGAGAGAGAGAGAGAGAGAGAGAGAGAGGCAGAGACACAGGCAGAGGGAGAAGCAGGCTCCATGCACCGGGAGCCCGATGTGGGATTCGATCCCGGGTCTCCAGGATCGCGCCCTGGGCCAAAGGCAGGTGCCAAACCTCTGCGCCACCCAGGGATCCCAGGAATGAAGTATTAACTAGGCTAGTGAACTTAAAAAAAAAAATCCTGGTTTCTAAATTTTATCTCCTTGAAATAATTTTATTGTCAAAGCATACACACCATTCAAACCTTGGTAAGGGAAAAAGTTGGGCTTGATATTATGGGATTTTCTGATGAGTAAATTTTTAATTAGAAGGGGAAACTGGGCTAGAATTTCAATCCAAAGCTTTTTTTTTTTTTTTTTTTTTTACGTTCAGAATCTTTTAATACCCCCCCTCCTTTTTTAGTCTTAAAAATAATTTTTGATTGTAAAATGGATTGGATTTTGATGCCTATCATTCATTTTAATTTTGAACCTAGGTGTATTTGTTTTTCCTGTTTCTTTTTTTAAAGCCCTATCATCACTCAGCACATTGGATGATTAAGTTATTTGTGGTAATAGATAGATGCACTGATGGACTTTAAAAATTAGAGAGATGAAGTAGAGCAGAAAAGAGAACCTCATTAATAGGAATTAGATTAATAGGAATTAGATTAATTCCTATTAGATTAATAGGAATCTAGGCCCTCTGAATTAAATATGAAGCTATAGGGGGATCCCTGGGTGGCTCAGCGGTTTAACGCCTGCCTATGGCCCAGGGCATGATCCTGGAGTCCTGGGATCAAGTCCCACATCGGGCTCCATGCATGGAGCCTGCTTTTCCCTCTGCTTGTGTCTCTGCCTCTCTCTCTCTCTCTCTCTCTCTGTATCTCTCATGAATGAATAAAATCTTTAAAAAAATATGAAGGTATATATATTTAGCAACCAGGAAACAAAATTTTGAGAATGAATTTATTTTTTAAATAATAAGATGTGGAAAATAAAAGACCAGAGAACACGTGGATTTTAGGAAAGCAACACTCAGAAGTGTAATATGCTCTGAGTACGTATTTTGTTTATCTTACAATACATTACTTTCCCTTAGAGGAGAAACTTCATTAGAGTAGTCATTGCTAATTCTTGCAATGCATTCTTGGAAAACTGAAAGAAGACAAAGAATATCTCTCCTGTTTCCACAGTAGCCACTGTGTGTGAGGCAACCTTTGGATAGTGTTTCTGAGTTGGAAAGGCAAAATGTTGTTTATAAGGTGTCAAGAAAATGAAATCTAAACAGAATGATGAAATCGATCACTTTCTGTACAGCAAATGTGAATTGGAATAGAATTACTGAACCTGATCTTTTGCAGGACCCTATTGACAGCCCTTAAGACCTACTTTGTCAGTATTTCCTCAGGATTCAGCCTGCTTTCCTCTTCACAGTTGCCACTTTCCGCTTTTCTCATCTAAATAGAGTCTGGTTTTGCAGCCAGCCTGGAAACACAGTTTTCCAAGATTAAATCTCCAAGCCCTTTATTGCTGTTTTTCAGGACAAATACTCAGCTTATTTTATCTTAAAGGCTTTTATAATTTATAATCAAAAGAAAACTGGTAACTGGAAGTATCAAATTCCTATTGTTACACATTCATAAATATTAGATGTATCTAATCCTTTTGTTTTCTGATGGGATGGTAATCAGGTAACTTAATCAGTTTTCCAGGTATCTTACATTGGTCCTTGGAGAAGTGAGTGTGCCTCTTTTCTCACAGGTAGGGTGTGAACAGCTGTTGCCATATCACTCACTTTTTGATGGTCCCTGGCCCCTGAAGCTATTCTCTCTAGTTATGTTAACTCAGCAGATCCCTTTATTTATTTGAAATATTGCAGATTCCTGTAGTAATCCGTATAATATCAATAAGAATGCCAAAATGACTGTTTACTTTTGTTTAATGAGTTACTGTATTTTGGCAGAAACGTTTTGGGTCCAGGATCGTCTCTTTTTCCTGCAGGTCTGGAACTTCAACTTACAGGTTTTCCATAGATGACTCTACCTTAGGAAAAATGACTTTTGCTACCCACACAATCCTGTTTAGAAGCGGTATCTTGTTATTGAAGAGCAATTTGGACTATATATATCAAAAATTCTTTTAAAATGTGCATAGCATTTGATTCGGCTGATAGGTGACCTGGTTTTTTTCAATATTGAAGGACAAACAGTGTAAGTTCTCATTCATTTGGGGAATATGAATAATAGTGAAAGGGAATATAAGGGAAGGGAGAAGAAATGTGTGGGAAATATCAGAAAGGGAGACAGAACATAAAGGCTTCTAACTCTGGGAAATGAACTAGGGGTGGTGGAAGGGGAGGAGGGTGGGGGGTGGGGGTGAATGGGTGACGGGCACTAAGGGGGACACTTGACGGAATGAGCACTGGGTGTTATTCTGTATGTTGGTAAATTGAACACCAATAAAAATTAATTTATAAAAAAAAAAGAAAATCAGTTTTTACTCAAACTAAATTGATCATCACTTTTTGCTTTTCTTACTGCCTGCAGTAGGTACTAGAGTATCCCTTGGCTGGTTGCTTAATTAGCATCCAATAAATCAGTGATTCAACTAGTATTTATTCTTCTTGTTAGCTAGTCAGCACACATGGGAGGTTTAGCAAAGTTAATTATTCTATACACAGAATAATATACCACAGGTTCTTTTATAAAATCTCAGAGCGTTTATAATATTTTATTTTTAAGCAATTGAAATAGTTTTATTCTGTGCATATATTTTTTGACAAACATGGGATATATGTGCTGTTTAGGAAATTGTTTTAATTTTGTTTTTTACTTATTGTATTATTACTGTCTTACCCTGTCAGTAAATAGAGATCTTGCTCATCATTATTAGTGACTATATAATACTCCACTGTGTGGTTGTACCATAGTTTTGTTTTTTAATGAATCCCTTATTGATAGACTTTTGGGTTTCTAGTTTTTTATTTTATAAACAATGTTGCTCTAACATTTTGGTTATGCATGTGTGCTTATGTGTTTACTTAGAATAAATTATAGTTTAGACTTGTTGCATCAAATTGTGCACATTTTAAGGGCTTTTAAGGTAAGTAGCCATTCCTAAAAATACCAACCCGTTTACAGTAGTATTTCAAATTGTTGGAATGTTGAAAATATTCTTTTTTTCTGCACCTTCTCCTATACTGTGTTCTTTCACTGTTATTTTTGCCTGTCTGATTGGCAAAAATGTTCTCTTACATTTGCATTTTTTTATTAGTAAAGTTGAATACCTTTTGGTGTGTTTATTGGATGTTTGTAGTTCATTTATAAATTTATGTCCTTTTCCCATTTTTCTATTGAAGTATTATTCCTTGTCTGCTTTTTTAAAAAATTTGTTTTATGTATTCCGCTAAGCATATAAGTATATTTAAATATACCTATACTCTTTTAAATTACTATATTTTAGGATAACATTCTCAAAACATAACTTAAAAACTGTTTGTAATAGTACCTGAAATAATTGTTAGAACGTAGTTCATTCTCCAGAAATTCAGATTTAAAAAAAAAAAATTTTTAAAGATGTTATTTATTTATTCCTGAGAGACACAGAGACAGAGAGAGAGGCAGAGACACAGGTAGAGGGAGAAGAAGACTCCATGCAGGGAGCCCGACGTGGGACTGGATCCCAGGTCTCCATGATCACGCCCTGGGCTGAAGGCGGCACTAACCACTGAGCCACCTGGGCTGCTCTCAGATTTTTTTTTTTTTAAGATTGTATTTATTTATTCATGAGAGACATAGGCAGAGGGAGAAGCAGGCTGGTGGGGAGCCCAATATGGGACTCGATCCCAGGACCCTGAGCCAAAGGATCACGACCCTAGCCAAAGGCGAATGCTTAACCACTGAGCCACCCAGGTGTCTCCAGAAATTCAGATTTCTTAGACTTCTGTAAGGTGATCTGTAAATCTGCTACACATTAAAATTAGGGAATCTCTTATTTGGAGGAAAAAGAAACTGTTTTAAGATTTTTACTTTCTTTTTGTCTTAACTTGAATTCACTTTTATTTCAATAATCATAAACTGTAGTCTTAAAATAATAAGATTTTCATCTGACTTGAGCCTAACAATAGATTTTACAGAAAAGTTTTGATATATGGTAATTTGGGTGTTGTAGTACATAAAGGAAACACTTTTATAAGACTGTGGGAAGGGATCCCTGGGTGGCACAGCGGTTTGGCGCCTGCCTTTGGCCCAGGGCGCGATCCTGGAAACCCTGGATCGAATCCCACGTTGGGCTCCCTGCATGGAGCCTGCTTCTCCCTCTGCCTGTGTCTCTGCCTCTCTCTCTCTCTCTCTCTCTCTCTCTCTCTCTCTGTGTGTGTGTGTGTGTGTGACTATCATGAATAAATAAATAAAATCTTAAAAAAAAAAAGACTGTGGGAAGCTTCATTTGTACATGAGGCTAAAGGAATAATTGAGAGGAAATAAGGTAAAATAAAGTAGGTATAAGTATAAGGGGATGTCTTCTAGTTTTAAAAACCCAGGGAGGTATTCACATTCCTTCTTTTATATGGTAGTCTTTGAACCATAAATTTGAAACACTTAATTGTTTGAAAAATTAGCCTAAGTGAAATTTGAAAAATTCTTTAGTCTAAATGAAATTTTAAAAATTCTTGATATTGCTATAAATATATTTTAAAAAGGAACAGTGTTCTCTTTTGTTTAATTGCAAGCTGATGAGCATGCTGCATGAGCAACAAACTACAAAGATTGAACTTTTACATAGATATTTTAATACTGTAACCAGATAAAGCTTTCAGTAGTTTTTTGACACATATTTAATGATATGCATAATTGTTACTGTGTTGCACATAATTAAGCTTCAATATAAACGACTGTGTTTACTACCAGTTTTTTATAGCCAGACCTCACAATTTTGGGGCCAGCTTGAAGGAGGAAAAAAATATGGCAGGCCAAGAAACTGTGGCAAAGATCTCTGACATAGAGATTTTGCATAGAGAGAATAGTCATTTAGGGCAAAGATTGCTCATAACTTTAATATTCCTAATTTTAATTCTTAGTATTCCTAATTCATAGACCTTGTCCCTTCCACCACTTAATACCATGTACTACAGGAAGAAATTGGAAAGGTTTAGCCACTGCTTTATTTTCTCCAAATATTTTTTTTTCTACTTAGTAACTAAAGCTTGGGATGTAGAGGTCCCAAGCATTGATAGTGAACAAAGAACAGTTTCTTTTCTTGCTTCAGTGAAACCAGTACAGGTCTCAAAGTCTAAGCTGTCATGGGTCCTGGTATGTAAGTTGTCCTGTTTATGTGGATCTCAGAATTTCTGAACCTGAACTTCTCATGTTTTCTGAACAAAGGCTCTTCACAACAAACACAGAAATAGCCAATGCATATATAAAACAAAATGAAATTAAATTTAACCATTATTAAGCCAAATGAAGCCATGATAGTTTAGTAAATGCTGTTTTCCTACCAGACCTACCTTTCATTCTACCCACACCCTCTCAGCCCCAAATAAGATAGTATTATTGCCCCTGGAAAAGTAGGAGCAAATCAAAAGAATCTAAAGCTTAGTGGAAACTGTAACTGGGAATCATTCCTATTCCTGCTGTGATTTTTCTTTTTAGGAATGATTTTTATTCTCTGCAGCCTGGCTGTGCTGTGAAACATTTGTTAGTCATATATTTCTACATCTAGATACTGTTTCTGCACTATCTAAAAAGATGATGTAATGTTGGAAAAATTTCTTGATAATACTTTTAGAACCTTCTGTTTGCCAGTTCAGTATTGGTTGATGGAGATAGCCTTTGTATAACTGTACTTTAGTAATAAAATTACTTAATGTTTAATGCTGCTTTACTATTTTATGAAGTACTTTTGCATATATTATCTCATAATTCATTTGTATATCATACTTGTAAGAGAGAGAGTATTTTCAGGAAGAAAAATTCTGAGTTCAGAGAAGTTAAATGATATGTTTACACTTAACACAGCTAGTAAGGGACTTGAATTCATCCAATTTATTTATATTTCAACTTTTTCACAGATACCTTCTACCAAATCAGTTAATGTAGAAATGCACTATTAATGATTAAAACACATATAATACATTTTAAATTCAGTAGTTTTGGTTATAAATATGGCAGATATTTAAATTTAGTACAACAGCATAAGAATTTTTCAAAATGGATCAATTATATCTTGTGACAAATGAGAAACTGCCATTCTAGATAAGGAATTAAACCATATGTTATATAAGCAACTGAGGGAAGAAAATTGCCTTTAAATTCTGGTTAAGGATATCTACAGAATAAATGATAAAGGAGAAAAACTATACTATGTCTCTGTGAAATACTGATGTATTTTGTCTATTAAGTCAGTATGATATCTCTCATCAAAGATTGTTTTATTTCTCTTTCTCATAGTTCATTGTTGGTGTGTGGAAACACAGCTGATTTTTGTATATTGATTTGTATCCAGCAACTTTACTGAACTCATCAAAGGCTTTAATATCAAGTCTACAATATTTTGAGAAGAAATTACTAATATTGCCCATTAAAAAAAATACTTTGCAGATATTTCAACCAAAGGAAGAAATAGCTCTCCTAAGATGGAATCTGTTGTTTGGGAATGTGGTTGATCAACTTGATATGTTGGCCAGATATGCCCTATGTAATAAAATGAAAAGAAGAGACAAGATGATGTCATTTTCCCGTATTGTGAAACCAAAAACAAATGCCTTTTGTGAGACCAAGCTAACAAACCTCTGATGGTCAAAGAGTATTTAACTGTTTGAAGAACTTAACAGTAAGATATAGAAGAAATACTTTCAAGCTGAGACCTGCAGGTGTATAATGATCTAAAATACATATTGAGTAGGCCTGATCATCCAACTCTTATTCAAATCCAGGAAGGATGGCTATGAGTTGGATTGTCTTCTACTTTTGGCCCTTGACTATGTTTGTGGGGCATATAGGTGGGCACAGTTTGTTTTCTTGTGAACCCATTACCTTGAGGATGTGCCAAGATTTGCCTTATAATACTACCTTTATGCCTAATCTTCTGAATCACTATGACCAACAGACAGCAGCTTTAGCAATGGAGGTAAGACTTGATCTATTATTTGATGTATCTTAATGGTGATTCTTATAATGTCTTGTTAACTACTCTAATGAATGTGTTTGATTAAAAACAGAAGAATGTTATTTTTAACTATATCTTATACATTAAAAAGTTATATGTTTAGGTTCAAACTGTAATAGATTGAAGACTTCATGTTTGGGGAATGTTACTCTCGACTTATTTTTAGATGTGTTTTTATAAAGAAATATGAAACATTGGAACATGGAAGTTAATAGCCATTGAGAAGTTTAAAATTGTCCAAGTTTATGATATTACATTTTTTCTGTTTGATAATAAAACCTCAGATAAAGAGTAGAATATAATAATAGTCACACTTCATTCCTTAAGTATTGAAGGTAACATGATCTTGTAAAATAAGTTCTTTGTTCAGCCTTTAGACTGGTGGTTTATGGTATTTAAATTTTCTTAAAAATTTTTAAAAATGTTTATGATTTTACCATCACATCAATTTAAGGATGATAACTCCTGATGAACAAAAAAGGTTTAAGGTTTGGTTGTATAAATTTTAACTGTTCTTGACCTCTCAGAATTTTATGAAAATGTGTTGCCTTTCTTGAATATTTCTAATAGTAGTTCTTCAGATAACTTTTTAATGATTTTACTTTAGAAACTATGACAAATTAATGAACATAGTCAACAATAGGTTTAAATAACTATGCATGCATATCTACAGAGATTTTAGAATTGTGGACAAGGATAATATGCTTACCAGATAGGAGCCAGGTGGCCCCGGATGGTGGCAATAGGAAGCATAGGCTTTAGAGTTATGCAAATGGGCTTGAATTCTAGCTTTATCATTTTCTAGCTTTATTACTTTGGGAAAATTATGTGAACTTTCTTACCATAGCTTCTTTCCTTGTAAGGTGGAATTAATAATAATTATACAGAGAATGTTTTGTACTTTAGTCTGTAATCTATTATTATAGTGCTTTCAGCACATTGAAGCCTATATGTTTTGGAATGCTTCATTTTATGGTAAAACCCAAAGATTCATTACTTCCAAGTAGACTAACATAAATGTGCCTGGGAAAATTTATAGAAAGACTATTATTTGCAGATTTTGAAATGTGGAGGACATCTTATATATTCCAAATATTTGAAAATATTACAGAGATTGAACATTTTCTGCTCTTCTGACTATGTAAGGTCTAACTGATACAGGGAGATTTGGTATACACTATCAGATTAGGCTATGAAAATGGTTAGTGTCTTAATACATTATTTCGGTTCCAGGCGTAGTGTTCCTTGCTGTGTATTAAAACCATCAATTCTCTTATCAAAAAAATTGGAGTAGAAATACCTTTGTTTTGGGATCCCTGGGTAGCGCAACGGTTTGGTGCCTGCCTTTGGCCCAGGGCGCGATCCTGGAGACCCGGGATCGAATCCCACATCGGGCTCCTAGTGCGTGGAGCCTGCTTCTCCCTCTGCCTGTCTCTCTGCCCCTCTCTCTCTCTCTCTCTCTCTCTCTCTCTCTTTGTGTGACTATCATAAATAAATAAAAAATTAAAAAAAAAGAAATACCTTTGTTTTTAGTATCATTATAAGTCATTATAACTCCTTTGGAAAGCAAATAGTGTAATAAGAAGCAAGTAATCAAGATATTTGAACTGATATGGGTTCAACTTTGGCTCTGCTTTATAGTAGCTTTAAGACTGAATAGTCACTTAGCCTTGGTTTCTTCATTTGTGAAAAGGCAGTAATAACAAAAAACCTTGAAGGGCTGTTAGGATTAAACTTATAAAGTAGCTAGTACAGGGAATGGCACACAGTAGGTTAACTGCAAATGTTAATTCTATTCCAATTCCGTTTCTAAATGATCCTAAAGAGAAAGTACCAGAAAGATAATGTATTTGTTCTAAATGAACTTGCATTCCTATGTGTAGGCTTTTGGAATATTAATAATAATGGCATAGTAAGCTATCACCAACTTCTTCTCACAGTTGCCTGTGTAGTCTAGATTGTTTATTGGCAATAAGGTTGTTTCTTTTTAAATTTCATACATTCTGGGGAGAGCACCTAAGTGGGCAGTATTTTCTAAGAGAAGGCTCCAGTTCTTTGACTTAAATAATATTGCAGATAGTTGTTACATGGTTGTTATATCAAGACAATGATGCCACTGACAGAATTGTCAGTTTGAGAGTGTAAAGTTTCTGTAACAGCAAAGGACATGGAAACTCAGCAGTCAACAAAACATCCTTCTAGATGGAAGTAGGGATTCTTGGGCCCTAATAAGGACAAGAATCTATCTCTGATTCTAGAATGTGTCTGTCAACTTTTAACAGGAGCAAGTAGTTGGAGCAAACAGTGGGAGCACATTTTTGAGTGTTCACTGTAGGTCAGAGTGAATTGAAAGATAATTTCTTAGGTGCAGGCCCATGTTTCAGGTCTGCCTTAGGGTCATTCCTGTATGATTTGCTGAGTCAAAATGAGTGCCTGGAATAGAATAGTATAGGACAGTGAGCTAGGGATACCACAGATGAGAGGAAGTACAGAATCTGGGTTATTTCACATATGATTATTCAGAGTTAATAAATTGGCTGTTCTTTCATTGTAGGTATAAGATTCTTAGTCTATACTTTCATTGAATTTGGGACATATTTAAATAAATGGGATAATGTAAGTATCAGGTCATTAAGTTGGAAAAGAAGATCTTTACTAATATGTTTATTTCTCTATCCCCCCCCTTCTAAAACATACTCATCTATACAGAAACACTAAATTTTTATAAGTTCTTGACTTGATGTTTTTTCCTCATCAGTGGCTTTTGACAGAGAAAAAAATTTCTCATTCCTGAGTTTCAAACCATTTGGGCTGTCCGAATTGCTAAGTAAATTTTTGGGAGCTGTCCAGCACAGTCAAGAAAGTGTTAGCAAATTGTTGGTAACTATCTTTACCAACTGCATGTTATCAGGTATTTATGACTGCAGTGGTAATAAAAGAGATCTGAACAGCCTTCCCCCCTATACTGGATAATTAAGTGCAGTTGAATAGGAAGAGACAGTTTAGTGGAAAAAGCACTAAATGAGGGATAGGAAATTTGTTATTTTGCCACTAAATAGTTTTGTAACTTCTTTGTGTTAGTTTCCTCTAGGAAGTGAATTTTTTTTCCCTGTCCATTTTACAAGGTTAAGATTAAATGATGTAAGTGATGTGTATATTTAAAAACTTTGAAAAGTTAAAGTGCTGTATAAATGCAAAGCAGTACTCCTTGTTGCCTGTCACCCTATTTAACTTCAGTTAATATGTGGAACAAGCATTCTTACCTTTTTATGAGGTTGATAACTTGTCTACTCTTTTTTTTTTTTTTTGAGAGAGAGAAAGAGCATGTGCAAGTGGAGTGTGGGAGGTGGGGAGAGGGAGAGAATGTTAAGCAGGCTCCATGCCCAGTATAGAGCCCAATGTGAGGCTTGATCCCACAACCCTAAGATCATGACCTGAACCGAAACTAGGAGTCAGATATCTAACCTACTAAGCCACACAGGTGCCCCTTGTTTTTTTTTTTGTTGTTGTTGTTGTTTGTTTTTTAAGAGAAACTAGACCACTCTTAGGATAATCAGAGGATAAACTCTTGGGATTGTTTGTGTTTGCCTCCCATTTCCTGTTTTCTTTTGTCATTCTCAAAGATTTTCTGTAGCATGGAAAGTTGGCAGTGGGATAGATTCTGCTGGGAACACAGAACCTAAAAGGTAAAAATCCTGGTATCCTTTATGATTCATTAAGAACAAAGCATGTTTGAACCAATCTTCATGTTATTCAGACTCAAACTGTAACTTAAAAAAAAGCTGTATTATAGATAATTTCAGTTATATAGAAATATAGATAATAGTATTTTGGACACCATATACCCATTACTTACCATCCAGCTTCAAAAATTATCAACTCAAAATCTTAAAAAAAAAAAAAAAAAAAAAGGCAGCCCGGGTAGCTCAGCAGTTTAACGCAGCCTTCAGCCCAGGGCATGATCCCAGAGATCCAGGATGGAGTCCCATATCGGGCTCCCTTCATGGAGCCTGCTTCTCCCACTGCCTCTTTTTCTCTCTGTGTCTCTCATGAATAAATAAACAAAATCTTTATCACAGCTAGTTTTGTTTCATTTATGACTGCATATCCCAACTGGGTTACTTTGAAGCAAATTTCAAACACCATAATTCCATCTACAAATATTTCTGTATATATCTCTAAAAAAAGTAAGAACTCTTAAAAAATATATAAACACCTTACCTTTATTACTTCCTCAGTATCATCAACTATCCAGTTAAATGTTCACATTACTCTGACCATTTCACAGTTTTTTATATAGTTGGCTTTTCAAATCAGGATTCATATATTGCATTCAATTGATATGTCTTTCTTTTATAATTTCTCCTTTTCCTATCTTTTTTTCTTGTAATATGTTTGCCTTATAGAGTTTCCCATTGTTCCCTTTATTTGGTTGATTGCATCCCTGTGGTTTTATTTCCCATGTTCTTTTGTCTCCTTTTTTGATTTTTTTTAAGGAAAATACTTCATGGGCACATAATATCTGGTTGTCACTTTTTGTAATTTTGGAATCCATTCATGATCATCTCTTAGATTGATAATTTCATTAAAGTTTTACAAAAATGCTTATAATTTGGGATCCCTGGGTGGCGCAGCGATTTGGCGCCTGCCTTTGGCCCAGGGCGCGATCCTGGAGACCCGGGATCGAATCCCATGTCGGGCTCCTGGTGCATGGAGCCTGCTTCTCCCTCTGCCTCTCTCTCTCTCTCTCTCTCTCTGTGTGTGTGTGTGTGACTATCATAAATAAATAAAAATTTAAAATGCTTATAATTTAATTCTGTCATTCTTCACTTCTCAGCTGGAATGCTTCATAAACAGAAAATTCCACTCATTGACTGTTGGGCTGCTAAGTTACTCTCATGTACAGTCTATATAAGAAAGACAAGATAAATACTTGGTTATTCTCAAATATTTATCAGTAT